AAAGAGTAGCAAGACCTTCCTTGAAGCTAGCTGAGGGATTTCGGGAGGAGTGTGTGCCTAGGGTTTCTAACCCACAGGTCCCTCTGTGCTGTCTGTCAGTTCCATGTACTTCTCTCATACTGCGTGAAAGATCGTGGGTGACATTCAGCAGCAGTAAGCTTTTAGTCAGTGGGGCTCGCAGCAGAAGCTCGTGGAAGAGGCCGAGGAGATCCGAGTCCTGCAAACTGCTGCCCGGGTTTTGCAACGTGAAGGAAATCCCAGAGATGAGCTGAGTCCTGGTGCGGGAGGGATGGTTTAAAAGGCAGGTAGTGATGGCCTTGTGGAACGTCAGCCTACATACACCTCCCAAGTAGAATAATGAAAAGATATTTGGGGAATTTCAGTAATGCAGAGTATTAAAGTAATGCTCATCAGCGTGGCGCTATGAACCAGAACTTTCAATGAAAATGAACTCCATTTCCTCAAAACCAATCTCTAGTTTCAGTCAGCAGAAGGCATCGCTTTTGATCTGCTCTTGTAATCCCCTGAAGCCGTGGTTTCAGAACGTCACCGCGCTGCCAAGTGCTCTGCAAGCACAAGGCTTCTGAGGAATTTTCAGTCTCGGTGCTGAGGTAATGCAGTCCCACCCCTGTTTGTGATTTCGTACTGCTAAGTATCCCAATGGAGGAAAAAAAAAAAAAAAAAGAAAAAACCAACTTCTGCATCATACTAAAATACATAAATACTGTCCTGGGGATAAAATATCAGGTGCCAAGATGAGACACTTGTTTTCTGGTGTAGAATTATACAGGAGAGACTCCTGTGCCAGACAGCAGCCTGGTAAATCAGAGATGAGGAGTCGTTTCAGTGGTTGATGAGGTTCATTGTTGCAACAACCGTAAAGAGAAATAGAGTCTATTTTTGACGTTCTGTACCCATTAAAATGATCCTGCTTGCAAGGCACACGTTAGCAGGCTGTGTGGTTGGGTCCTCGGCACTGGGAGCTTCTCTGAAACTTAACAGTGTGTAGGACGAGATGATTCCAGTTGTCTTGTCTGGCTCTAAAACACCGCGAACCACGAATCATTAAGGATGATGCTTCATCTCACTGAATTTTTTTATTTTTTTTTTTTTTTTAGGAGTTTATTTTGAGAAGGTCTTAAAGAGTTCAGATACTTCCTTGTGGGTGAGGAATATTCAGATGTACTTGTCTGGGATTGTGGTGACTTTATTTGGTGTGTACATGTCAGACGGAGCCCAAGTTCTCGAGAAAGGCTTTTTCTATGGCTATACGTACTACGTCTGGTTTGTCATCTGTAAGTATCTTGTGGGTTTAGGGTCTTGTTACGTTGTTTTCCTTTTTTAACCATGATATAACTGATTGCACGAAGCTACAAATTCAGTCTAACACACTGGTTTTTACTGTGTTTTGGGGGATTTTATTTCACAGCATCACTTTATTAGAAATGATTCACTCTTCAATTTAAAGCTGCGCTGAAACAGCAGCCTAAAATAACTGAGTAGCAAGGAGAACGTTTTTAAATGCGTTGTATCTGGTCCTCCAGATGCCAGGTAGACATCCCATTTTGCTGCAGGTGGCAGTCGCCAGTTAGGCGGGGGTAGCCCAAACAAGGAGGACACCAGTGGAGGGAAACGTATCATTTCGGGAGTCACCTACTGCACCTTGACTGACAGAAACACCTTCTCCCCTTTCCAGTTCTCGCCAGCGTAGGCGGCCTCTACACTTCGGTGGTTGTTAAGTACACAGATAACATTATGAAGGGCTTTTCTGCAGCGGCAGCCATTGTTCTTTCCACTGTGGCATCAGTCATCCTCTTTGGCCTCCAGATAAGTGCGTGCCTTTTTGCCTCGTATTTGACTGTACGTGCGTGTTTCCTTCCTGGCTAGCAGGCTGTACGGAGTTCATACCAAAGCCATCGCTTGTGCCTCCTTTTGAATTTTGCTGGTTTTAATTTCGCCTCCTCCAGGACGCTTACGCGGGAGTGTGGGATCTGTGCTGCGTGACACAGGGTGCCTGATGATCCCTGTGCTTTCAAAGGCTTTCACGGTCTGTTTGCTCAGAGGCGTCCGACAACCTCAGACGGAAAGGTTCTTTCCGATTTAAACAGCTTAGAAGTTGATACAGCTTTATTCATGGATCACTTTCTGACGCAGTTTAGTGTGTGATAGAGCAGTTTACCTGAGCCTGCCGTGGATAAGTTAGAATTTCTTGTTGGTTTTAGCACAGCCAATGCCAAATTAATTCCCTGGCTATTTCTGCAAGGGCTTTACACACCCCTGTTAACGCGGTAGCGGCTATAACTTAACTTTTACCTTCCCTGTTTGCTGTGGACACCACCACGTGAGGGCGAGTCAGGCAGCAGCTGGGGTCATGACTAATGCCGTGAATATTTCTGAGAAGAAACAGCAGATTGCCTTGGGCTTTTCTGCAACTACAGAGGATTTTTTCCCCGATCTATTCTGTGATACCGTAGCCAGCAGCTCCTGCTCCGTCCTTCACTGTTTAGTTTTGGGTGTTTTTTACTTTCCTACCATAATCCAAAGTTGGTATGGTGTAATGGTGGAAAAACTAGATTTCTAACATGGCATTAGTGGGATGAAACTTAAGGAGAGTTTGCATAAGGAGAAAATCATCCATGTGTGGCTGAAAACAAGTGATGAAAAACACAATTAAGTTTGAAAAATTCACTTGGACAGAGCATTTTCTTGATGGTTGACACCAATCAAACCTGGACGGGTAATCTTTCTGCAAAGCCTCATTAATAGTGTTTCTTAAGCCAGTCTAGAAGCAGAAAGGCAAACAAGAGGTGTTATCACAGGCTACTTTCTCCCATCCACTGTGCCTTTATTGTTACATTTACTGTAACACAAGCCTGTCAGATGGCATCTGGAACTGCAGCAGATGTTTCACCTTTGCTTTTCTGACTGTTACCACCTTCTTGATGATAGGAGGCTAACTGAAGTGGGATTGTAAAACACTCAAGACTTGTTGGTGACAGAAGGCAAGGCTAGATTCTGTGAATTACTAAAAGCTTGTTGTCCTGTTCAGTTTTGAGTAACTTCAGTTCTGTCAGTCGGGTATCATAATTGATATAGCTTAGTCTTCTGAAGGTTTCTTCTTACACGGAGGTGTTTAAATAAACTATTTTGTCTCCTTTCAGCTGTTACCTTCTCCCTGGGTGCTCTCCTGGTGTGTATTTCTATTTACCTCTATGGATTACCTCGACAAGACACCACAAAAATCCAGCCGTCAGAGACTAAGAGCTCAAAAGAGAGACTTGCTACTGTGTGACATTGTCTATAAAAAAATGGACAGACAGACAAGAGAAAAAATGGACTTTAAAAAACCCTGTCTTTTTTAAAAATTAGCCTTAAGCTGGTCATGAAATGGTCTAAGGGGGATAGACTAAAAGCAGCAGTTAGTTCTGGTGTATGTGTGAAGTTTCCAGTGGCTGAAGCTGAGGCTACATTACCGCTGTGGAGCTGGATGGGTGTTGTACTGGAGGTGTTTTTCCTTCACAGGGGACAGTGAAGGCTCCTGCTTACAAGGAAAGCAGAATGAAGGAACTGAACACTCAATTGTACATAATGTATATAATGGGGAGAAATTGGTTCTTTGTGTGTTTGATAAAACTGTCTTGCCCTTTGAGGGCAGAAATGCTCAAAGGCTTCATAAAAATCTAATAAAAAGGGCAATTAGTGCCAGCACTTTCTCTTAAACTGGTTGACAATTGCAGTTTGATTGATGATGGGAAAAGTTTCTCTTCTTGGTGATACGTATGCGGTGACACAACCCCACCAGGAATGACCCTGCTTCGAGCATCACTTGCCTAGAAGCGATCAGACGTAGCACGTGCTGCTTGGTGTAGAAAGTTGGAATGGAAGACTGGTGTTTCTCTCAAGTTGCAAGTTTTCTTTCGCTCTTCAAATGTGTTTTATACCTGCTGTAGCTGCTAGAGGGATCTTCTATATGCTTTGTCAAACCCTGGTTGTACAGGGGAAGGTTCACATGTGTTCTTGTATCTCTGGCTTAAGTACAAATGAGTCAACTCCCAACTATCAGACTGGAAGACTTTTATCTGTACGTTTTCACTCTAAACCTTTTTGTGCATAGAGAGTGGTGCTTGAAAAGAGTTCCTGTAATGCATGTTAGCTTTTGATTTAATTTATGAGTGCCAACTGTATAGCTTCAACCTCCTCCCTCGTTTTCCGAGGCCGTCCAGAAACTGCAGCTCTGTGTTGAGGGAAAACTGACTTAGGTGCATCTGGGCAACTTGTTTACATTCCAAGTACAGTCAAACGCGTGCCCAAATTCAGAACTCTGCTTAGATTCCTTCAGACGTGAGTTAACCAGCTGGGTTTTACCTGACAGAGGGGCATCTTAAACGCAGCAACAACAAACACGCTTAAATGCCGTTCCAGCAAAGAGGGTGCTCCTCTCTGCCTCTTGCCAGCTCTTCGGTGCCACCGCAGCGCTGCTCGCCTGAGCCGAGGCTTTTTGCGCCTCCGGTGCTGAGGGAGCAGTGCGGGTCCTGTTCCAGCCATGCCAGGGGCTGGGGCGGCTTTGGCTGTCGGTTTTAGCCGATGTTACACCGAAGGGGCCGTGCGGTACAACAAACACCCAGGGAGAGAATTCTCTGGCGTGGTCTGACTCGCTCCCTTTGTTAGAGAGTAGCTGTTGTGGGCGAAGCACGGAGCGGCGACGGCAGAAGGGGAGAAGGTCGCTTGCTTAGGGCACTTCCTTTACCAAAAGGACGTCACGTTTACAGAGGTAAAACACAGACCAGGTCTCTTTCAGGGGAAAGACCAGGTGGATTAGTGTTGCAAGCAAGCTGCTGCCGCCACGTGCCTGGGAGGAAGCGACTGTGACAAGCCTGGGCTCCCCCGCACGGCTGTGCCACGCGTGCTCCGCTGCAGGCGGTATGCTGGAGCGCACAGCCCTCCCCCAGGCAGATGGCAAGTCTCCAAACTGCATCAGCAATGACACACAGGACAGTGTATTACCTTGAAAAATCTCCTTTTACTAAGAGACGTGACTTTATACCGCGCACGGGTCTCCGTTACATTTGAGTTACAGGTGTAATGCCCAGAAGTTTCATTCCGTTGGCTAGAACCGAGCGTGCAGCTTGAAAGAGGCAGAGCCTTGCCTGGAAAACAAAGAGCAGCCATCAGCTTCCGCTACTGCTACGGAAAACAGGGCGTAGTTCTCAGGCCAGCAGTTAGGAGCAGCCTGCCAGAGGTGGGAAGCAGCGTGCGTATCCTCCACGTAATCTGAGCACCCAGTAACCCACCCCTGCCCGCAGGATTCACACCAGCCGGCAGCAGCCCGGGGCAGCGTCAACGTGGGACACTTTTGTCAACAAAGGGAAGGTGGAATGGGGTGTCCAGCCCCATCGAGTACCCTCGGGGCAGAGGGAGCAGAGGCAAGGCCTGCAGAAGAGCTAGCACTGACTGAAAAGTGAAAATCTGTCACGCCCCAAGGCTGTTCCAGCCTGAGGATACGGCTGGAATCCCTCTTCTCGCTGTGCCTGGGTTAGAGGCTGGCAAGCAACTACTTTGGAAATTCCGCTCTTCCTTGTCAGTGCCTTGGCTGCCACACAGCTGGCTGGTTGGGAAGGGCTCCGTCAGCCTTGCTCTGAAAAAGTAGTTCTTGAAAGCTGTCACATTGTAAGATATTTAGAAATAGCTTTTTTTACAGGGTAAGGAACTGAAATTTTCCTTGTAGCTTGGACTGTCTTAGCCCATCTTCAAAGGTGGGAAGGAATACCCACAGCATCTAAGCTTGAGTACGGCTCCACCAATTCCACTGCAATTTTTTTCCCCCACAGCACAGCTCATCAGTTAAATGTGACTTCCTACCACAGTCGGTTACATGACTGTTTTTGAAAGAGGAAATAGGAAACAGAAAATAAGAAAAGGCAGCGTAATTAGTATCTCATTTGCTGAGCAGTTAAGGGGTCAAACATTGCCAGGGAGATCACTTGAAAATAACATGCATCTGTTTGGAACTGCACATCAACAGCTGTCAGCCTCTGTGCTTTCATTGAAAAGGCAATACTGACAACCTGGGATAGGCAGGTGGCAGGAGGAAGGAGACAAATTCAGTCACCTCCTAATTCTCTGTCTTCCCACATAACCACTACAGGCAACCCCCAGAAATTAACCTGCAAGTTCAAATGCTCAAATATTTACTTTTTAAAAGTTCAGAAGGGAAGGGATTTGACTGGGCTTGGAGCAGTTGTGCCTGTGGAGCAGAGATTTTTGGGGAAGAGCCCGGCTGGGTCAGCCCTCAGGGCACCACAGAACACCACTGTGCCATACCTGGGCCAGGTCAGGGCCGCTGCCTTTCACGGGAAGGGTTTTATGTGCCACGGCTGCAAGATGGCTAAAATGGAAAACGAGACTGGTGAGAACGAGCAAGACTCTTGACAAGAGCAGTGCTATGGGCTACAGAAAGCGGCAGAACTGGAAGAGCCACACCTGCAGCATGCCAGAGACTTCCTTCTGACAGGCTCTTTCACCTGGCTGAGGGAGAGCACAGGTTTTCTGTAGCCTGCGTGTCGTCAGGTCGTGCCATCAACAGCTTAACGCTCGTAAAATAACTCCAAAGCACTCTCTCCACTCCCCCCACCGAAAAAAGAAAGACCCTTGAGAATCTGGGCTCTCATTCTCAAGGTGCATGATTCCCCATACAATTTTCCTTAACTTGTACTTGCCCATACACAGGCTCTACAGCTTCCTCCAGCAAGTCCACTCCAGTGTTCCACTGTGCTGTTAAGTCAGACACATCCCCGGGGGACCCTCTCCATGGAAGTCACACACGCAGGATGATTTATAGCAGTAATATGTTTGGTCCCTCTCAACATGTGGGCTGCCGTCAGTGGTTAAAAGGGGTTTGGACAAAATCTCCTACCTGAAATTTTGAGATCTGAGAGCATGTTATCAGCTCAAATCTGCTTTTAAGATATTATTAGTCCAGCATGATCTCGGGTTCAGACGCTGGGTTACAGCCAAGTAGTTATTTTTTCTTGAAAGCCGTTAGTTTCCGAGGAGGCTCCTGTCTCCTTTCTTCTTGGTTCCAACCTTGATCTCTACTATTTATTGTTTTATTGGCTATCCTACTTTACACCTTTCCTGCTCCAGAGAAACTGTCCCACAAATTTACATCTTCCCACTATTTTTACTCTTCAAAGCAGTGCAGGTGTGAGGGCTGCAGAGCCAGCTCAGGGAGACCTGTCCTTACCGGAGACAGACGCCAGGATCGGCGAACACCTTACCTAAGTGTGAGGAGGTAGCTGACAATGTGCTTGGGTTGCAGATCCTGAGAAGATCTATACAGGACCTCATCGTACCTGTGAAGGAAGAAAAAGATTGTTTGGTGTTCAAGCGGTAGAAGAAGGCGTACTTAGATATAAGGCTCCTCAGGCTTGCTTAAGTCAGAACGAACACACAACCACAACTGTGGAATTATCAAAAATAATCGCCTGAACCAGACCTAAGCCATGTAATTAACACACGATTGGTAATTTCTTCCTCGTTCACTTATTATTGAAGATGGCTTCTGTTCCTCATCATGCAAACGCTGTAGATGGCAGAGCTCAGAGCGGTAGGCTATAGCAAAGAGAACACAAGAGCTATATTTGCTCCTGGAACATTATGTCTGGTTTTACATTTCAGCATTAACTGTAAGTTCCTAGGAGCAAAAAGCATGTATTAAATAACGAAGGCAGTCAAAATAGTCCCTTAGAGGATGTTGCCTTTAGTAAGTGCAGCTTAGAATTTTACATAGCTAAAGGGAATCTTGTAACATTAGAAAAGACAAAAACAAAGTGGGTTTACATAATCCTGGAATAAAATTGATTTATGTAAGACAGTACTGAACTGGGTAATACAGGTGGACTCCTGGAGATCCGTGTTTTTTTCTTCATGTGTTCTGCTGCCCGCTTGTGTACACCCTCTTCTTCACAGCCTGCAAGAAGTTCCCAACACCCCCTGAGGCTGACGAGATTTCAAATTCAAAGTGGGGAGCGGACTTGCTGGTCTTTGCTCAGCTCCCAGGCCCATCGCCGCCGGCCTGCCCAAGCTGAACTTCCCTGGGATCTCCCTCCTTTAGAGGCAAGCTGCAGGAGAACCGGGGAGGGAGCTCGGGTAAGGAGGGCTCCGTGGTCACCCAAGAGCTGTAGCACCAGGGAGGGAGCGCTCCCCATTCCTTGGCGGTCAAGCTACGAAAACCATCTCTTCCACGTGCATTCAGCAGCTCAGCTCAGCCCGTGTGCCTCAGGCAGCCACGGTTCTGACAGGGAAGGTCACTGCCCCTCTGTCGCTGTGCAACAGACCCGAGAGGCACAAGATCTGGGGAACCTCTGCATTGTCTCAGGGACAACGCGGACATCAGCCGCTGCCGGCGCCACGGAGACAGAGACACGGGTGTACAAAAATTACTGTTAATTTAACAAGCACCATCAAACAGCCATTAATGAAAGCTTCAGGAAGCAACAGAGTTGGTGTGAAATGAAGGGGCCCTCTTTTGGTACCAACTCTGTTGCCTCATGAAGCTGCCATTTCAGTGTTGGCCTACGACGACTTGTTAGATTATTTTCTCAGTTAAATAAGTCCGCTTTTGCAGGGATATCCATGATACCTGCAATCTCCTATTCATTAGCCTGCAAAGTCAATGGTATTCAGAACTGGCCAGCTAATTTTCAGGGCAAATTCTTGGTAGCTTTTCAAACAACAGCAGCAGCAGAGCCATGGCTAGCGGGCTTCTGACAACTCAGCAGTGTTTATCATGGAAACTTTTCAAGAAGAATCCACTCATGGCAACTCACACGGAGGACTGAACAGTAATTGTTACTCCTCTAATAATTTAAACATGAGTTTGTTAGCCACTGAGTGCCTGGTCCAATGGATAATGTAAATTTCTGCTGGAAGTAAAGGCCCCAGGAGATGTTTCATATAGATTCCGTATGGTGCCTGGCCAGACTCAAAGGCCTTTGCAATAAGCAGACCTGAAGCTCTATAAAAACAAGAGCCCTGCAGTGGTGCAACAACCTCTGTTTGAAAATGGACACGTGTCTGGGACGCAGTGATCCCTGCAAATCGACCTGAAATACATTAACCCTGTCCATTTTCACACACAACAGGCAGCTACACACTAATCCGGTAAAAACCAAGAAATGACCCACAAGTTTTCTGTGAAATACAATTATACTGGGTACATAAGACGCTACTGGTCTTATTTAGAGTGCTGCCTGTCTTGCTGTTGCCCAAGAGAGCACGCAGCATACGATAAGCTGCAGGCAGACCTCTTGAGGCAATTACAGTTAATGTAGGGACTCTGCAACCTGCAGCTGCAGGCTGAAAGGAGCCACCTGGGGCTCTGGCACGACCTTTGGAAGTCCCAGTTTTCAACAGATGCCCTCAAGAAGGCCTTAGTGTGGCCAAATGAGTTAACTCCCGGGCACTGTGCGGCGCGCAATGCGGCATGTAGGACCTCTCACCAGAAATTCTGAAAGCCTCAATCGCTTCCAACTCCACAGGCTGCACAACACGGACAACTCCCCTGTCTCTGTATTTTAATTACACACCTATGAAATAATGAAAGCAGAAACTGCACAGCTTTAATACGGAGTTAATGAAGAACGTTACAGCTGTAACAGGTATCAGTTGTGCATGTTCAGTAGCTCTGAAGGGTGCGGAGCTGCTGAATGTGCGTGCACATGCTCCACCTCACCTCACCCAGGAGCACTTCCTCTCCCCTTTCCCACATGACGGAAACAGAGCAAGAGGGACCAAGCAAATCTGCAGCTAATATTTATATAGAGCTTAGCATATTTTTGTGAAGCCAAGAACTAATTAAGAGCCTTATGTACACAGAGTATGTTCCAAATAGTGCTTTTTCCCTGGCTTCTAAAGTCCACAGAAAGTTCAAGTGAGCGCTACCACTGCAATCAGTATGATCCAACAGACAAGCCGTTGCCTGAAATAGCCATTTTCCTCTTATAATTGCAGAGTCTGTGTCTGCTCAACAGACTGGCAACAAATTCAGAAGTTTATTTTAAGGGAACTGGTATTTGGAAAGAAAACTAGACAAACCTGAGAAGATGCTGAAGAACAGAGATGGCACCCGGCTCTTGCAAGCACGCCACATTAACGTCAGTTACCTTCTCATTCCCATGTATCTGTTCTAAACTAAAACGTAAAAATGAAAAACAAATGTTGGATGAAAAACTTTTGTTAGCAAAGCTGAACAAGAAAAACAGCAACTTGTGCTTTTAAGAAAAATGGGTAGGCATCTTCTGCTCAAGCTGAATGAAATATTGAGACAGACTAGCTGACTTCAACCCAAGATACAAAAATTATAGTGTTATAATATAAAAATATAGTGTGCTAGCCATTTAGTATCAACAGGGTTAGAGTTACGCATAGACTACAGGTCCAGAAGCTGATTCTAAAAGGACTAGGGAGGAAGGTGGTCAATACCCTAGTAATGGTACCCTGGTACCATCAATACCTTGATAGTAAGGGAGTACAAGAGGAATAGACCAGAAAGGGACCAGGCTTGCACGCTCTCCCTGAACACCACCTCCTATAATCATTGCCTCAGACAGAATACCAGATTGGTATGGACCTTTGGCCTGATCCAGAAAGTATCTTACATGCTCTTATGAAAATACGTATCGATGTCTGCATTAAAAATGCTCTGACAAATCACTGTAATTGATAAAACTGTTCAAACTGACCTGAGTCAACAGGATGGGGTCTGCTTTTAACCTTACTGACAGTGGGAAATACCAGAATGTTAAAAAAAAAACCCCTGAACTACAGTGGTAGCCAAATAAATTCTGGGATTTGGTATATTTTAAAAGTACAGGCATTTTGTTTTTTAGATCAGTTTCCTTAATCCTAGGGCAACCGTTCTTCATCACTGACACCAACCGCACAGAGAGGCTGTTCCTAGAACCGAGAAAGTACATGGACAGCTAGCTCAGCTCTGTGGAAATTTAATTTTAATTGGCTTGCTCTTCTGGGAAATCTGAGTGTTTCCTATTGTGAATTCAGATCACTGCTGAAGGAAGCGAGCATGTGTCATGTTTATGGAAGGAGTTAACACTACTACTTAATAAAGAAGCAGGTTAATAAGGTTAAAAGACGTGTCAAACTGTACCTCTCCATACAAACGCTCCTCTTACCTATGGAGCCTGGCATGGGTGTACTGCAAGAACACGCCTGTATCGCCATGACTTTGAAGGGCTCGATCCCAGCTAAACTGATAATCAGATGACAGAAGGCCCCGGAAGTCCTGGAACAATAAATCAATGTCACCTAGATACAGCTCTCCATCTCAATTTTTAACTTTTCACAGAAGATGCAAACAGCTCGGGAGGCAGCTCAGACTCACCTGAATTATGAGTGCCGCAAGACCAACCTTCTCTGCTGTCTCCATAGGGTCTTCTATCTCTTTGGTTGCTGAAGAGAAACAGAGAAAAAGAAATCATAAGTCTGTAGTAGCATAACAACTCCCTTGCTCGGGTTTGGAGATGCCAGTAAAACAGCACTTTCTAAAACTGTGAACTAGCAATATGGAAATTGTCAGGATGCACACAGCAAGAAGTCCAGGATATAAATCTTAGAAGTTGAGATACAGCTGTTTCAGATGGGCTTTTTCCTCACTTTCCCTAGTATGAATAATGCAGATTGTAAGGTCAGAAAGAAGGGTTCATTGCAACGGACTAGTAGACTACACTGAATTCCCCTTCACAATTCAGACAGCCAGTCTCTAAGATCAGGAAGAGAATGACAGGACAATTCAGATCCTGTTTAAAAACCGATAAACTCCAAGTGATGTGGAGGCATAAGTAGTCAAAGAAAAATCGTTTCAATGGCTAACGGAGCATTAGATGTACATTTAGGGAGTATTCACACCATCTACTGTAGATACCTGAACTGACTATACTCAGAGAATCTGAACTGAGGGAATCATAGAATGGTCTGGTTTGGAAGGGACCTTTAATGATCCTCTAGCTCCAACCCCCCTGCCACGGGCAGGGACACCTTCCACCAGCCCAGGGTGCTCCCAGCCCCGTCCAGCCTGGCCTTGAACCCTTCCAGGGAGGGGGCAGCCACAGCTTCTCTGGGCACCCTGTGCCAGTAAAAAATTTCTTCCTTCCAGTCTAAACCTACTCTTTTCAGTTTGAAATGGTTGTCCCTTGTCCTGTCACTACTAGGCCCCGGTAAAAAAAAGTCTCTCTCAGTCTTTCTTACAAGCTCCCTCTATCTGATGAAAGGCTGCAATAACATCTCCCTAGAACGTTCTCTTCTCCAGGCAGCACAACCCCAACTCTCTCAGCCATCCTTCATGGGAGAGGTGTTCCAGCCCTCCGAGTATTTTTGTGACCCTCCTCTGGAGTCACTTTAACAGGTCCATGTCTTTATTGTACTGGGGACCCCAGAGCTGGACCCAGCACTCCAGGTGGGGTCTCACCAGAGCAGAGCAGAGGGGCAGAATCACCTTCCTCGACCTGCTGGCCACACTTCTTTTTATGCAGCCCCAGGATACAGATGGCACTCAGGGCTGCAAGCACCCACTGCCAGCTCACGTCCAATTTTTCAAGTGCCAGACATCCACCCAAGTCCCTCTCTGGAGGGCTGCTCTCAATCCACTCATTCCCCAGTCTGCCAATACTGCTGATTGCCCTGACCCATGTGCAGGACCTTATACTTGGCCCATTCCTCAAGCCTGTCCAGGTTCCTCCGGATGGCATCCTGTCCTTCAAGCAAATCAACTGCATCACTCAGCTTGATGCCATCTGCAGACGTGCTGAGGGTGCGCTCGGTCCCAATGTCTATGTCACTGATGAAGATATTAAGTAGTACTAGTATTGGTCCCAGTACAAACCCTTGAGGGACACCACTTGTTACTGGCTTCCACCTTGGACATTGAGCCACAGACTTCTAACTCTGTAGACAAGGCCATCCAGCCAATTCCTTATCCATCTAACAGTCCATCCATTAAATCCGTATCTCTCCAACTTAGAGGCAAGAATGTTGTGGGGGACCGTATCAAAGGCCTTACAGAAGTCCAGGTAAATGACATCCCTAGCTCTTCCCTTGTCCACTGGTGTAGTCACTCCATCATAAAAGGCTAATAGATTAGTCAGGCACGATTTGCCCTTCTCCCTGGGTAGACATGACAACCACTTCTCGAAAGCTCCTTTAATTCAACAGACTGAACTTAAGTCTTTCATTACAAAACCTAATTAATCTGGAATAGCCTGAGAATGTCCTCACAACAGCTGCAGGGAAATGTCTGCAAAGCTATTTCCAGATTTTTCACAAGTCAAGTGATATTCTTCAGCAGAAAAGCAGCATGCGGTTGCGTACAGAAATTCATCAAAGGTCTGTTTCTTCCCTGTCTCACAGGGATGTTCACAGGACCAAGCTGGTGCTCCAGTTCATCAGAAGTACAGCAAACCTGCCTACGTAACAGCACTTTAGATGCTGGATCTTCTGGCAAATCAATTACTTGTGTTTGGACCCACGACCTTGCCTAGTAAAAAAGGTGATGCTTTTGACATACATAGCACTTCCTATTTTTAAATTTGGATCACAGTGTGCTCTATCAGGGTGTCCTCTTCCTGTCTGCCTCTACTGGAGAAAAAGGAGGATTCTTGTCATAGTCTTTTACAAGGCAAATCTGTTCCACTTTAGCAACAGCCAAGTGCATTTTTTTAGTAAGGTATATGTAATCTATTAAATTTGCAGAGTTCATCTTAAGGCAACGCTTCAACTGAAACAGTTTTGCAGTACAGTTTTAGTACACTTAGATTTATGACTTTTGCTTTGCTATTTCTTCTTGCCAGGTCAGCAAAGCCAACTGAGACAACTTTGAGTAGTTGATGCTACTCATACCTTTGCTATTTATAAAATTCAGCAAGGACTAAGCTTGAAAAGCGTGGGGATAGTTCATAACCCTGAGAACACTCAGAGTGGCTTTTCATTCACAAAGACAAATATGTTTAGGTTACGGTATTACATTTCATAACTGAGATTTGTTTCAAAACAGAATAGCTGTCTCAGAATTCAGGCTTTTGTTTAGATGCTTGATGAGACACATACAAAGCTATCTCAGAGAAAGTAAAGCAGCAAAGGAAATAGGCATTATACAGAGGATTTATGTGGACAGCAGGATTCACCGAGATGAGCAGAAAGAAAAAGGATGTCAGTAATGGAGACTTAAATAGCAGAAGAACTGCGTACAGCTAATAGCAAGGAAAGAGTTTCTACAGAGGTATTTAACTAACCAGCTCCAGCTCCCCACAGGCATGATTTTTAAAGCCAGCATAGGCTGTTAGATGCCCAGCTCCCAGAATCTTTCCAATGACAGTCAGGCATTTTGATGCCACACACAAGTTTGTAATATCTTTCGCTGTGTATCCAAACACTTTTCAAACATTGAAGACACTGCTACGAGTCAGGGATTTACGATTTCTAATTTAGGGAAGGGGAAGTAAGAGAGGAATTCAAATATAAGGGGGGAAAGCTTCTACAAGCACAGACAAGATTCAGGATCTAATGGATAAGCTGTAGATACCGCTGCAGCGACATCTGAACACATTACTACTTTTAGCTGTTCTTCTGCCTACTGCTTGTGCAATGGAACACTGGTGTGTACCTCTCCGTGTCAGTTCAGTCCAGCACAAAAGTAAGTTTGCTTTGCGCTCAGTTATGATTCTAACCTTTAAACTGAAGCTCTAAGCTCCATTCCTCTCTGCAGTAAAACTGGTTTGAATTGAGGGTCACCCTTCTATCATTCTGCCTGCCCCCTCTTCTCCTTGTCCACCCTACAAGCAAAATTATCTGGATTTAAAAAGCCGAGGCGGTGGAGCAAGGAAGATGTGCACTACTTAACCTGATCAGTTGATTGATTCAGTTCAGCACCTAACTACAGAAAGCACAAGAGGGGGCAGCATTTCACCGGGAACTGCTCGAATCTCTACTGCATCAAGAGGAAACAGCTCTAGAGCCACAGCCTGAGATGCAGGCAAACATCCCCTCTGCTGCAGGGCAGTGACCTCCTGGGGACTCCGGAAACAGTCCTGAGGCTGGGAGGATGACAAGGCAGTAGCTGCAGACAAGTTACAGTCAATCTTGACACAGAAAATGGTCAGAGCTACAAATCCTTCGCATGAAGTCTGACTGTTCCCTAAACTCCAGCCCCAACCCCACTATTGACCAGTTTGTTCCTCTAGAAAAAAGCAACTCTTGTCCCCCAAAGGCAGGTGCTTCCTTCCCAGTGCAAAAGTACAACGAAATAATTTCACTGAATGTTAAAATTTGCAAATCTGTAGTTTAGGGAAGTTCACAGAATTGTGAAGGATTATTTTAACATTGTTGGTATTATGGGAGATACAAAAATTCACAGATCAGGGCATATCACTGTGATTAGTCTGATGCAGGGAAAAGTGAAGGACAGAAAAGATGAAATGTTTTTGATCAACACAGAACATCAAAACAAATTAATAAGACCTGAAATAGCTAACTTTTTGTGGAAGCCATGTTTTGTAACATCCTCGCGCGAACTTCATTTAAAACATCTTCCAGGAAAATTACTTCTCCTCTCCGAGTCTTCATCCCTTGAACTCGACCAAAAGACACATGCTGGCACCTGTGTTGAAAAGCAGCAGGACCTAAAATTACATTTTAATCAAGAGAAATGTTTGCAGTGTTTGTTCAGAGCTGGATTCTTACCAGGAAACAGCAATAACAGCTGAATAAATAGAGCTCCAATGTGGGAAGCTTGGTGATATAGTCAGTAACTCTCATTTCAGCAACCAAAGCTCCATACTTATTATGTAATGGGAAAATTATGATCAGAATTATGATAACCTGGTCATTTGCGTGCTCGTGGGAACCTCTCTTGCTACTAGCTTTAGTACAGAGGACTCAATGCAATAAATTGCAATAAATTGAGGAGAGGCAAGATGTAGACAGATCAAATTACTGTGGCAACACAGATCTGTTAATAAGATTAGAAAGGGAGTCATAATAATTCTATTGTGGCCACGTTAAACTCAAAGTGTAATTAATCATTGGTAATAATAAAACATTAATTGCTTCTGCTCACAGTAATCCCCAACATTATCCTGGATCCGTAACCTAAGGACTGTCATGGTTGCACTCCAGCTGGCAACTAAGCACCACGTGCTTAGTGCAACGTTAAGCACTGTGAAAGGAGGCAGACTAATATTTCTGAAGGCTAAAATCCCATATTGAACCACAAAAGACATGCAGTCTGTCAGAGAGGAATATGATTTACACTGCAGATCCATTATTGGCCTTTGCTCAGATTGCTACCAAGACTGATAATTACAATGAATAACAGTGGTGATACATTTCTCTGCAACAGACATTTCAAGCCTGAAGCATGATACAAACTCAGATTAAAATTTCTGCTATAATATCATACTTCATGAAGTAATCACTTAATATGTGATCACATAGTATTCCAGAAGTCTCTGAAAAACTGCTGCTCTTTTTCACCTCAAGCAGTTATGAAAGACCTGTTAAATGATAGACAGGGCTGTTTTTCACATCCTGAACATGCTGATATCTCCATTTGCAAATAGACCAGCCGCAGCAGATGTACAGAATTAAAAGGGTGGTGTCGAGGACCCAAGGCCCCCATTGCACACAATTCTGAGGGTTTGTTCTCTTATTTTTCCCTATTTACTGGACTAGCATTAGCTGGGTCCTATGGGCCAAGTGTCTGCTTGCACTCTGGAGTTCATTAGTTGCACACCAGCTGCACATCTTGTAACTTAGTTTCATCCAAAATGCCTACATGATGCATGCTACAGCATGGTGGTAGGCGGACACAATCAGGAGATTCTCTTCAAAATAGCACTCCACTTAAATTCCAACACACATATTACCCATTCTTTTTTTTTTAAAAAAAAAAAAAAGGTATATAATTAAGATTAATAAATACATACCTTTCTGCCCAGTCATAACCCATGAGCTTCAGTATTTGGAACAAATGTTGAAAGTGATTACTTTGACTTTTATCTGTCTAAGGAATAGAATTGGTGCATATCAGAAAACACTCCAAGATTGATAAGGATTAGCTTTTAACACACACCACAGATACTGTGCCAGTAAGTCACTGCAAGCAGAATTAAGACCTCTGAAGACAGACAAGACTTCAAAAATGTAACAGATGGAATCTATGGCAATGGAATTTTGCATCTCTTTAGGAAAAATAATGTACTTTTCCAAAAATTGTTACTCCTAGGTCTTGAAGGCAAAGCCATGAAGTGAAATGAAACCTCGATGTTCTTCAGTTTCACATAATCTGTGAGCTGCCCATCAAACAAAATACCTCCATTTTCACTTCAGAACCTCGTCACCCTTGTTACATTCCCATGTTTTACATCACCAAACTTTAAGGTTCCTTTGGCTTAGAAACAGAACACCTCCTTAACCTGTCTGTCTCCAGAACCCACTAGTTTATATTGTCTCCAGTGTGGAGTTTTACATCTTAAGTGAGGTGCATAATTAAAAAATTAAAAAAAAAAAAAAGAAATGATCACATTTTCATATTAATGATGCATCTTGTGCTCCCTTCCACTTCCAATTACTCTCTCTTATGACTTAAAGCAGTTTCTGAGTGCGGTTTACGTCTAACAATGATCTTTGTATGTCTTTCTAGCTAACAGCTGTCACTACGAAGTTCACTTTCCTAGCCAGTTGTTTTGAGTTTGTCACTCAGATTCCTTTACCCCTCCTTAAAAAACACTTCAGTGACAACCAAATAACCCCTATTTCATTATTTGTTTGGTGCTCCAAGACAGGGAATGAGCAGTGAGTGAAGTGCTTATCTGTGTTTCTTCTCAACTCTACCATTGTATCAAGCCACAAGCCCCTGCCTCCTTTCTCACAGTTCCCCATATCTTGCCCCACTCCTATGCATCACTTCTGTGCCGATTCACAAGGAAGGCTAAGAAATGGATAGTGTTGGTCAGCATTTCAACCAGGGCCTTCCAAGCTCCTTTCCACACACCTCACATATGACAGAAGCTCTCTGTACCTGTAAAAGCCAGATCTCTTTCGCTAAAAGATCTCACAATAAAACTTAGAAAGTTTAGATTAAGGCCAGCTCACTGTGCTGGTCAACGCTGCCTGACCGTTTCTTCTGCTTCTCTCTAGGCCAGAATTCATCTCTATTCTCCTGGTTTACAAGAGATTATACATTCCATGACAGAAACGGGGTTTGTTTTGTGTGCACAACAGCATGTCCCTCACCGCCCAGACCACGATCACAGCATTTAAAAGCTTCTTTGAAGGACTGCAGTCTTTTGTGAGTAGACATTGTGACAAATCATGACAATACTCACTGTCAAAAGACTTCAATCCTTCTGAACTTAATTGCTTCTTCGTGACTGTTCACTGAACAGAATTTTCAGCTAAAATTAAACTAAAAGCCAACTTAAGTTTGTATTTACTTGCTTTGACAAATGTATATAGAAATAGCGTAGAGAATAATATTTAAAATCATTAACACAGAATAATCTAATAATAATCTAAGAACTTTTTTTTATAATCCCTTAAACTCCCGTGGAATTAAGAACATGAAAAGAGAGACCAAGATAAGAATATCTATCAGGCAGTACAAGCTGAATTCCATATTTCAGCTGGCCACCTGAAAACTGAGCATCAATTCCTGTGGTTTTGGGATGCTGTGTGATACTGCAAGAAGCATAACAATGAGTGTTTACAATGCTTGAACAATTTACATAACTAAAATTGCATGAAAACCAAATCTGTTAAGAAGTATGGAAATAAATACTAGGACTACCACACAACTTCATCTCTGCCTAAAAGTAACACTAAAATCATGGATGTGTAAGTAGGTTAAAAAAGATGAACCTGTAGACACTAGAATTTCATAGAACTACTTTTTTTTTTTTTTCATAGCTTCAAGGAATGGCAAAAATAACAAAAATGCTCAAAAAGAAGACTTGCATTATGAAGAATGGCAATTTTTTTCTTTACAGGCCCCAAAATTATACATGTCTAAATGCAGTCCATCTGGTTATCTTTAAGGGAGAAGCTTGCAGTCTGACAGTGTGGATTATATATAATTCTTCATATATAAAAGCATTTTCATCTCTGTTTTGAGTGCAACATTCAATGGAATCTTAGTACCTCTTTAATAATACATGCCACACATTTAAAAATGTTTTGAATATTTTGCTCATGTCAATGCATTTTTATGAAATAGGTAGGATTTTTTTTATATATAAATTGGTGAATGCACTGATTTACAGCATTACAACTAATAAACCAATTTAATGTTCTTTTAAACAAGTGGATCTGATGAAAATCAGATGATCTTATGAATTAAGACTCAAGAGTCTCTAAACGATTTTCTTGTAACAAGATCAGGATTCTGAAATACATTTGGTTCCAATAATTAAAGACCGAAATCATCAGTGTTCTCACTTAAACCTATGAAGTCCTCCTGCCTCTGGTAACACTAAGTAAAGCCCTAATCCACTACAAAGTACTTCCACAAAACAGCAGCAAAGCTCAGCAAGCCTGGCAGCTCCCTCCATCAGGCCGTCTGTCCCACAAACTCTCCTAGCAGTTCATGTTATTACCCCTCTCATTTTATGACCCACATTCTCAGCCCTCAGAAAGTCAGAAGTGATAAAAATACTAACCATGTCATCCAAAAACTATGCCACCTTAATGAGGATGAGAGAACAGGACCAGACAGGCTAATCTGTCATTTCCAACTTGAATTGGACGTTGATTACAACAGACACACTGATCACATCACAGTCTGGTTTTGCTGCATATCTGTTTGGACTAGCAAATCAAAGAAGCCCAGGCGAAGAAGTAAACAGTTACTGGAGTTCAGCTGTGAGCAGCCAGTCAGCTCAAGACATTGCTTCGACACTTGCTCACAGCATAAACTTAACATGCAATTCATATCCTAATTTGTGCAAAATACCCACTCAACTATTTTCTTTCTAACTGTTCCTTCTCCCTTGGTCCTTGGCATAGCAAATACAAATAATTACCTATCCACATGAACTAGACGGGAAACTTCCTTAACATTCCTAATGCATTGCACTTTCACAGCCACGCTGCTCTTCGATACCAGTGAGCCCATGTTCCAATGTTCCAGTCAGTAGAGGTAGAAAATCTCCCACCAAAACTAAACAATTCCCCCCAAAAAAACACAACCAAAAAAATCCCTGTTCTATGACCACATGTGGGAATGGCAAACTACTGGAAACTTCCTGAAGACTAAAAATAAAAGGAGAAATGTAACTAAAAGTCACACTTTAAACAATCTGTGTATTTCATTTGATGCTTACTGATCTCTCCCCCTCGCCTGAATCATGGTATTTGCAACACTATATTGACTTTTGAAAAAGCTGTACCAGAGATGATGTATGGGCGTTACCAAACACATCGCAAACACGTGGATTTTTTCCATATGTTATTAATTGACTTCATATGAAAGATCATGGTTTTCAAAATTATTTTTTTCTAAATCTGGGAAAAAGAAGATTTAAAAGTATCATGTGATATTTGCTTGGTAATACTAGAGCAAAAAAGAGTTTCACACAAGTGATGAGATAAGCCTGCTATTCATTACTAATACTGTTGGAATTGTTAAAAAGAAAAATAATCAAACAAAGAAATATTAAAAGATTCCCTGTCTACAACTGCTTCATCCAGATTGATTAAGCAGTACTTTCTGTGCAATTTCTACACAATGAAATGGAGGCACTGTTCAAAGCCATAAAAATTTACATTTCAGATAAGATATCAGGACTTTAGAGTAGACTTAGATTCATTCTAGACCATTAATTTCTAAATGAACATTTCACAACCCTTTATAACACTAACATCTTTTTCTGACTTGTTTAAATATTAATTACAACATTTATACAGAAAATACAATGTCAATTGAGTAAAAGTTCCTTTAAAATGAATTGCAATGAATTTTTACACCGGAGAATAACTTCAGAGCCAATTTTTCAACCATTCTGTGGGTCACAAACTGAAACAGAACCAAGAAACACTGCCACGCTGAGGCACAGCTGCTGGGCAGTAAGGGTATCTGTCTTACTGCCAAAAACACCCTGTGCCAAAGTCATATTGCAAGCAAGAGGTTGCCCCTTGGATTACTGGAGAGAGTCAGGCTCAAAAGCGTTTGGTGAAATCTAGAATTACTTACCACATAAATCATAGTATCACATCTATGCTTATTCATTCGGTCTACAGCAGCAGCAAGATCTCTGAAAGACATAATGAGAAACTGCTTGAACTTTCACTCAAACATACCTCATTATGTGCCTCAGGAAAATAATCTGCTCTTACGGAGGGGAGAAGGCTGCCCAATTAGAGGGACCCACGTATGCCTTACACAAAAAAGAAGACATGTACACTTCGTTCATTATGTGTTTTAAATGTTTTTTTTTAAACCACTAGCTATGAAAATTACTGAGGAAACAGTTCTTATGCACAGAGGAGGTCTGGTCTCTGTCTGCCTACTGGGACAATCAATCAGCTGGGACTTGAGAGAAACAATCCTCTCCTGGAAAACTAACCCAGAGCTCAGCGTTAGGTTATATGATAAAAAACTCATCTTCACACACACAAAGTAGTACAGAGGAACAACTTGTTCGAGCCCCTCCCAGGGCTGTCACAGAGGGCCATCAGCCCCGTGTCCCAGTCTGAAACTCACCTCAGGGGTCACCAGGAGCAGCTCTCCAGATCACCTTCTGACTGAGGGAGGTTACTGCCTCAGGGACGCGGGACGTGTGAGAGGCAACGGAAAAGCATTTTGCAATTGCACGAGACTTATTATGGGATGCTTAGTGGAGGAACCAAAGATGGGAAAAGATAGGGAGAAGATGATAAAAGGGACAGCAGGCTGGTAAACCAATTGCTGGTTAGTCTGTTTGTCTGGTTGTCCTGCACCTGATGAGCAGAGTCTGTCCTGTCTACTCACTGAACTCCATTTCAATGTTTTCCTGAGTGAGGGGGTCTCCCTTCTGCGTGCATGTGTGTTTGGAGGTCTAAGTACCAGTAACTGGAGCTGGGGACTGCAGCTCATAAAGGCCATGCACCTGTGGTGCCAGCAACTGAAGAGACTGGAAGTAAGCAAAATTAAGTGACAGCAACTGGAGTCTGACCACGGGTCACAGGAGCCAAGGTGTCTCTGCTGCCAACAACTGGAGTGAGGGTGCACGCAGTCCCATGTGATTGACAGCAAATACCAAGCTGAACTAGCCAGCAAGCAGGTGAAGTGCCCTGGGAGCCAGGTAAGTGCAGGCCTTCAAAGATGAGGCACCCAGAGTCTGTACTGTTGGCATCAGGGGGACCAGGCCAACTGCTGGAGAGGCTCACCTGCGTACACGTGCGGCTGTGTAGGAGGCAACAGGGGAGAGGGAGGATCCAGGCCCAGCTGCTGGATGGACCACATGTCTAAGCTCAGTTACTGGAGGGATCCACTGTGTCTGGACCAGCAACTGGGGTGGGGCTAAAGGCCTTGGGGGCTCACACGTCATGGTGCCAGAAACTGGGGAGACCTGGGGATCCAGCGGTCAGCTAATGGACAGACTGAGTGCTGGAGCTCAGCTACTGGAGGGATACACACTGTGCATACATACTCTGTACTTACAATACATTTGTATATTACGTAGGTAGAGAATACATATACACACATACATGCATGTATATTTCTTCACCTGACTCCTGGTTGGACCTGTGGGCATGGAGCTGTGGCAGCCTTCCCTCTACCCAGCTACAGGATTCAGCAGCTCCCTAACATGCAGAATTGACTGCAGCATCTCTCTAATAACCTTGTCCTAAAAAGCTGCACACAGTTTACCCTCAGGGCTACACATCTGATTTATATACATTACTGGCACAAAGAAACTGCTAAGCCTTCCATATTAAAATACCTAAAAGAAATTTTAGGATACTGATGAAAAGGATGGGAAACAGTGATAAAATTCATGGTACAGTGCTGGTGGTTCACTGAGTCAATGAAAACATGGCTGAACAAGCCATTTGCTTCTGCATCAGACTGCCAATAAACATTTTAGGCAAAGGTCTTTCGAAAACCTTCATTATTTGGCACGTGTTTATTAGATGAAGAGATCCCAGCTTTGTTTTCAAATTCAGTATCTGGAGAAAGTATTATGATTTATGGAAAGAGGAGATGTATGTTTTATGGAAAGAGGAGATTTACTAACAGACTGCCCAAGAGGAAGAAAAGTATTTAAAAGCAGTTGGTTTTCCTCAGCCATTTTCATCCCATCATAGTTGCACTGCTAGTCCCAGTTACAATTACTCATTAGTCAAGGTGTTCCACCCCAGAAATACAAAGTTACAAAATTTGTACTATCAGTTACAAGGTACTCATGTACAAATCTACTGACAAAATAAATGGCAATAAACACAGATGGGTTTACTTGCCTTGTTATATAAAGAGATGTCCCATCACTACGCATGACGGTGGAAAACGATGAGAGATCTTTCTTTTCCGAAAGATCCACAATTCCTGTTCCTTTTCTAGAAGTTGAGAGAAAACACTGAAGTAACTGCAAGCCAGATCCAATATACAGATAAGATAGAGGTCAGAACCAAAACAAAGGCCTCTTGCCATGGAACCCCCCTAACTCTAGACAATCTCCTCCTTTTCTTTGAATGACTGTCTCCTTTAAGTCTTTCTGAAGAGTGTTCCTCTAAGTTTGTTGTCACCACTGCTGATGGCCGGGAGCCACCTGCCAATATTCTGGTGCATTCCATAACTACAGCTTCCATTTCAGTTCAGCCAGGCAGATCCTTCATCAAGGCAAGGATCTCCTCTAACTCCACTCATTAAATGGCACATGCAGCTACTAAATAAATTAACATCCTAAAAGGCCATTAGGAGTTGGACACTGTCATTGTACCTAATCTGTCACAGCCAGGCTTCTGTGCTAGCCACAGAAAAGACAAACTTCATTTTTAGCTGTGACTGCACAAATTCTTTTGGTCTTCTACTAGAACAGCTACCAAAACCATGCAAAGAAAACTCTTCCCCATAGATTACGTACAAACCTCACTCATCATATCTCATTTGAAATGCAACTGAGATGTTGAGTAAACTACACCAATAGATTGAATAATAAGTTCATACATTGTTTTCTGAAGAAGTCCTTTATTCTCCAACATCTTTAGAACTTCCTGGGACTTCTCTTGGTAAAATGATTCTCCGGAATATTCATCAAAGTGCACTCCTAGACGCTGAAAAGTTCCAAGAATATTGAAGAAGGGCAACATTGTTAAGATTGAGGATAATCATTTATTCAAATTCAGTCAGATGACAGGTCTGTGTCACAGGTCAGACAGAGTGCAAAGATTAATTTTATCCCAGGAAATGTCACTTCATTGTTAAAAGGAATAGATGTTTGGATTTTGATTTAATCAATTTCTGCATTAGAATTAATCTCCCTGAGTTGAACACAGTGCTGGATATAAAGTTCATGAGAAACTAGGGGTCAACTGGATAGAGCAATTAGTATAAAAATTCTGGGGTACATCTCTAACTTGCTGTGCTGTCGGCAAAACTGGTGGACTGCAGAGAAGTTAGCTGGACATGAAACCTATTCTATTTTAAAAGGATGCTAAAAGAAATGTTAAAAAAGCAGGAGCTGCTCGCAAGCACTGCTGATCATATAGAAATCACCATTACTAGGGAGGCTGAGGGTACACCTAAGGGAGACAGGATGACCTTAGCAGTCAAAACTGGGTGAAACGTTAACAGTACAAAAGACAAGGTTTCTAACTGAGGGCAACAAAGCTGCCTGTTCACCAACTCAATACTTACTGGTTTGAATGGAATTGGGAGAGAAAGAGCTAGCTGTACCAGTCATCATGTGATTAGTGATGAGTTACCATCATGATGCAGCTGCATACACAGCCCAATACCCACTTAACAGGCCAGCTTTCCACGAGAATTACCAAGGCTGTATCTCACTTAGGAAATCTTAGAGTACTTGGCATGAATCCAGTGATCTATTTCAGGGAAGAAATTAAAGCACAGCCAGTTTGTCTGGATTACGGAGGAAGGAGCAGGCCACTCCTCTAACTTTGCAATCGAGGATGAAAGAAGACATGACCAATTTCTACAAATACATCAAGGGGAAGGAGATGGAAAAGTGCAATTTTAAGTAAAGAATAATACTGTAAGAAGGAAGTGGTATAAAATGAGTCACAAATTCTTTGGAGCTGCAAGTTAGAAAAAAAAAAATGTTTAAGCCCATCAAAACTGGGCATCCCTTCCAGAATTTCATTGCAAGAATGTGGGAAAGAAAAACACTAGCTGCTTTTCAGGTGGACTCAGTTGGTTTTTGAGTAAGATTACATAGTATTAATACCACTGGATTCAGTGACAGAAGGTATATCTCACTCCTGTTTCCCAAATTCGTAAGATTCATTTTGTGGTCAGTGGCACAAACATCTCCCACGAAACAGTGAACACTGACTCCATTCTTGAGATTACAGTATGCAACAGATGGTTGTATATCCCCTCAACTTAACCTGCAAGTAACTTATGCACTGATTACTACTGTAAACTCCTGCTGCTATAATTTCTTACACTCGATTTAATATGCAACATACAAATTTCTGCATTATAACATTAGACCAGAAATGTGAAAACAGAGTTATCTCCTAAGAAAATTTATTACATGAAGACTGTTAAATTTAGTGGGTTGTTGCCAACTTCAAAGATAAAGCAAAACTGAGTAATATTTATCTAACACTGATTTGCTTTGTTGCTTAGCACCATACACCTAGTTTCAGGACTTCTAAGAAGGGAGAATTAGTCTAAGAGCCAATTACATAGATACCATTAAATAAATTGTATCTAGGCTGTCAGCAATGAAAGTGATGGTCTGCTTGGATGTTAAATCAACTGCTGTGCTTTTTCCAAACAGAATGGGGCATTACCTGGCATAATGAGAAACAACTTGCCCAGAACACTGTAAAGTTTACTGGAAAGGCAATGAATTGACAACATCACAGCAACTTCTGTTCCTAAGTCAGTTCACTGCTTGGCAGTCTCTTGGATGAAAAGGCGCTGTGCGCTGTCAATTAGATTGATGGAGCAATAGATAAAAAGAGACCATTTTATCAACAACACGAGAAAAAGCAGTGGATGATTTGTACCTTATAAATTCGGATGTATTCTTCAATACTGAAGTCTCTAAATTGTTTCCAAAGTGACAATGTCTGCTCATCATGTTCCTCCAGTTTTCTAAAGAAATCCTTAGCCAGCTTTTTTGTGTTTTCATCTTCTGCTTCTTTGTTAATTTGCACATACACCTAAAATAAAATGTCACCGAGAATGCTGAAGAAGTATAATCCTGTCCTCCAATAAAAATAAGCAAAGTTATACAAGAACAATATAAAAACATTTAAAGATTACATTTGTAGTGTCAAAATCTTAAAGATGTGTTAAATGAACACATTTCCTATTTAAAGGATAAATGAGTAGTCCAAACTCCAATAGGAAAATGTGCAGCTTATCTTGAAACAAGACTAATGCCATAATTTCTTACTGCTGTTGCTATCATCCTCTTCATAACCTTGAAACAACTGCAGCAGCAGAATATGGAAGAACTAATTTATGCATGGAAGGGACACCATCACTGCCTTTTAAACCAGAGACTTTTCTTCAGAGAACCACAAAGTTGATACTTAAAACAAGTGAACTGCTTAAAAAAATGAGATGGCAGTTGAAGCAGCAAAATCCTAGAGAGACTTGGTTTACAAACTCAGAAAAACCCAACCCCAGTTCTAATCCAAAACCCTGTACTTAGAGTACTCTGCACCCATACTAATACACGCTGTCTCTCTGAGGCTGAAGTCAAGCATATGAATGTCAGCGTCTGACTAGACACACACATGCCCTGTCAGCTTGCTGAAAGCATTACAAACTCTTGCATTAGCCATCTTTGTTTATGTACAGCAAATTTGGCTCTCCTGTTGATTGACATATTACTTTACATCTAAAGGCCAAATATTCACCCAGATAATGATTCCTTGCTTTCCACACAAAGCATCTTGAAAGCCCGTGGAAGAGTTTTTAAAAAGTTAAAGTACTGTGTAAAAATAATTAAACAAACTAGTGGTTACACAATGTATTTAGAACCAAATAGTTCAACACTGTTTAATTTTTAAGTCCCTGAAAGAGTTTTCATCCCCAAATCATTGCAATCTTGACAAAAAATAAATGATTATAAAAACTTCACTCCTGCAACGTTCAGATGAGTTTGCCAATAATACCTCGCTCAAATTGGTTCTGCCTATTAAAAAAATAAAACTTCCACAGCAAAACTCTTGAACTTTTCCCCTTTCTTTTATGTCCCAAGATTTTTAGAGATTTTAACAGGCAGTACTGCTAACAAGCCCCAAAGATTAATGTTTGCTTAGTTCTGCCACAAAAAATAAATTTAAAGTAGAGGAAAAATTCATCCCTTTCCAAGAACAATGTTCCCCCTCCCTCATCAGTAGCTTCACACATTCTAAAACCTACCCTCCCCAAATCTTTGATGTTATAAAGCAAAAATAATGCAAAAGGTATATTTACATCTGACTCGACCAAAATGGAAGGTGCAAAGCTATTTGGAAAGGTACATTTGTCTATCTATTTATTTATATAGAAACTGGGCTACGGAAATGTTCTTTTTAAATGAACTATAGGAAAAATTAGTTTCACCCAACAGCAGACAAAACACCACTTTGAACACATCTCAGTGTTATATATAAACTAGGAATACAGCTGAACAAACAGTTAAAGATTGGGAATATTTGAGAAACTAATTTGGTCTCAAACAACTACTGTCTTAGAACCTTTTCCAGCTTGACTGAATACTGTTCCCTACACTTGAAGGTAATTTTTTTAAGGTCATAAAGCCCACACATTACTGCAATAGATGGTGTTTTAAAGCTTTAGTGCAAAATTCAAGCATTCAAAATTTAAATCCTAAGAACGGACTGAATTTATAAACTAAAATTAAATAACATGCAGCAATGCATAACCGCAAGAATATGACTACTTCTCATCTCTTTAAACCGGTCCTACAGCTCTAAAACACCTTTGTGTGTTTTTATCAATTTTATTGAACAGGCCTCAAGTATAAAGGAACAAGTGAACAAAATTTATCTATGTCAAAGAAGCTGGCAAACTCAGAAGGAGCTACTCCGTCACATAAACAATCTGCTTAATATGTATTCAGCTGTAGAGTATCCAAATATTCAAACACAGTTTGTTCCTTTGCCAGTGAACAGATTTACGCAAAAGAGTTATCCTGTGACATACTGCCCGAACACCAGCATTAGCAATAGTTCCCATCTCCAGCTCAGAGGGTGAAGCACAGCTCAGCTTTGTAATAGGAGAACACTTAACAGTGCCATACAAGAACCCTGACAAAGCCCCATTAACACATGAGATCTTTCTTTTAAAGGACGAGGGCTTGAACCTTAGTCATTCAGAAAATTTCTCCCACCTACCCTCAGGGTTGTTGGATTTGTGCAGATAAGTACGTAAGTCACGTTCTCTTACATACAGCATGGTTGTCAACCAAAGATCAGTTATAAGCATCAAAAGACTGGCAGAAACCTTTTTTGCTCATTGCACTGTATGAAACAAGAAGTGACACACAAACGGGTAAAGAAGAATAAATAAATAAAAACTCAGATGATATTAGGCATATTTGGATAGAGCAAACCAACAATCACAACTATATTAGTCCTGGAAAAACAAGACTTGTTAAAACTACCTCAATTGTTATGGCTAACCTGGAGAAGTCCACCGAGTCAGTTTTGTCCCCAACATACAGAAATGTGATCTATAGCACTTGCACCATGCTGGTGGGCATGGTGGGCAACCTCCTGCAATGAAACAGCCTTCCCTACCGCTGAAAGGCCTGTCATGCCCTGAATGTCATGTCCTGAATGCCTGTCAGCAGAAAGAGCACCTTCTAATGATCCTGTGTCTTTCACACTCTTGGAAGAAAGGAGAGCATTCTGCACAGCCAGAACAGTATTCTCGAAAGTGACTGTCACTCCTCCTTACCTGTATATGCCAAGCCTCCATATTAGATACAAAACACTTTAAAGATCTTTTTCCCCAACCACAGTGATTTGTGTATTGAGGAACTGTTGGAGAATAGCTCAGAGACAAGGGTCCTGAGCCCACCGAGCAATTGTATGATCAGAGCCTGCTCTAGCTGCTGATGCTGGGCCTCACTAGGGTTTGCCTGCAGCTGCTCGCAGCTGCTGATACAGGAGGAATGTCAAGGACGCTTCAGCCCTGTGTACCGTGGTGTGTCGAAAACAGGTTAAGGGGAATTAGGAATAGTGGTCTGAGAAACCCAGTGTTATGGTAACGGTGGTCTGAGAAACATTGTGTTATGGTACTGTCGTGTATCGAAAACAAGTCAACAGGAATCAGAAATAGTAGCATGAGAAACTTAGTGTTATGAGAAGCTTGTGCTGTAAGCTAACTGCAAGTAGGTGGACCATGCGAATACAACCTTTAGAGCTTAAGCCAATCAGCTAGTGACTAGTAGGCATAATAATTATCATTGTCTGTATAAATATATGTACCCTGGACCAATAAAGAGACACGTTGATCACCCACACTGAACCCGTCTCGGCGTGTCGTTCGTCCGCGGCTCCGCAAGAAACATAAATTAAATATTACTTATTCTAAAAATACTAGCAATGAAAGGATTTTTACACCATGCATGCCACTTCTTTTCACATCTTTGGTAACTAACGTACTACAGCATTAGATGCGAGACACCATTTCCACTGCATTTAGTACAGTGAGCCCAGTGGTCACCTATGACCAGTTAAGATAGTTGATACCGGTATGTTGGCTGTGGTGGTAGCAGCAATCAGTGCAGCCTAAGTATCCGTATCATTACTTTCCCTATGGGGCATATTTTTCAGCCTAATGAAACCTATTTCTGCTGCCACGGCCTGGTGAAAACTGCCCCTGCTGCCACGGCCCAGGATAGCACTGGTCCTTCAAGCAAGGTCATTTAAATCCAACATGAGTCTCATCACGACCCTGCAGATGAACCATTCTATACAAACTTGACAGTTAGGTTACATGGACTGTCCTCTGAAGTGCCTAGTTGGTCTTATCTGAACTTACCTCAAAAAGGTGTTGTAAAGGACTGGATTTTAGCTTTTCTTTGTTGCCAAAGAGTTGGAAACCAGCACCCAATAAGCCTTGAATAACAATTAAACACAGAGTTAGACAACATCCCAGAGTATATTGCTTTGTTGATTAAGTTGTTTTCATAAGCAAGTCTAGTCTTAACACTGTATGTAATAAAAGAAATGCATTATATTTTTAAACAATATAATGGTGTACATTACAAAAACAAATCAAAAGCGTAACCTATTATTCCACTGCATTAAAAAAAACCAAACCAAACCAAACCAAAACTATAATTTCTATAAACTAGTAAGAAATACTATGTTGATTTTTCAGATCCCCATAAACGGAATTTGTCTTTCTGGACTTGCAGAGAAAATTATCTTTTATACAGCAACCAGCTGTAAATGAGAAGCCACACAGTGGAAACTGTCCAGCAAGAAAACAAGCTCAAAACTCCTTGTTTTGCTTCTTCTCTTAACAGTATTATCATTTCAAGGACAATAGAAACTGGGGCACAATACGGTATTCCACATACCACTCATGCAATATCTTCAAGGGAACATTTTGCTGTGTGCTGAGAACACGCAGCTTTTCCCATGTATCCAATTTGGCTTCATCACTTTCTGAAAGCCATCTGAAAGGGCAAGATTCAAATTCCAATCTTTTTGTCTAAATCAAAAGAGCCCCTTAACGCATTCAGTAAGCTAGCAATATTAACCCTGCAGCCTCTCAGATTTTCTAAGGCTGCTTTTAAGGCCATCTCATTTCTCTGAGCCGACAAGGACCAGCACTGATGTGCAGACAGCATCTGAGGAACAGGTATGCAGGTATTCCTTTGAAAAGCCCTCTGCATCTAAACAAATAGCAGTATCTCAAGAAACTCCCTCTTGGAAACACTGAGTGCGATAGGAGACACAGCAGATTTAGGTAAGAAAAACAAGTCAGGGTTTAAGAAATAAGATTAGTCTAATTCTATTGAAAGTGAGTTTCTTTAATGACAGCTTGTTCTGTGAACAACCAGAGCTCGACTTCCTAATGATCTCTCCCAGATGTTACCGTGCCTACACATTCCACTTTTCAATGCTGGCTTCACACCCCAACCCCCAAGACTGCCAATTTTTATTCAACCCAAACACATCTTTCCACACGTTTCTGTCTTCCTCAAACTATCCCCGGCCCTTGTTATACTCACCAATTACTGGCAAGATGCAGCATGTGTTGGGACTGATGCTGACTTAGATGTGCTGACTGGTTAGCTGGCAGGCTAAACACAGAAGTTAACTTTCTCTCCCAGAGGGCACTGAATTGTATTTCTATGCCTACTCAGCTGCCAACTGTCACAATACCAAAAGAAATTTGTTCTCTTAGAGACATTTTTCTTTGTCAGATCTGGCTGAAGTTGGCCAGTGGGTTCAAAATTTATTAGGAACAGAGTGACAGGAAGACAGATGGCCAGACAGTGTGACTGCATAACTCTGTTACCTTAAGAAACCTGCCCCAAAACTGCCTAGAGGTTGAGGACTTCTCTACCATGTTCCAGCAAAATATGTTTTTAGTTATTATGTTTCAAAGCCTCTGACAATAGCAGTAATAATAGAAATGCTGACAGACTGTTAATTATAGCACTGCTTCTGGGAAAGGACCATTGCAATAATATTCCTATGCTATAATTTTGTGAAGCATGACTATATTATTTGTTATAAAATCTGTCATATATTTGAGCTGAGCCAGCCCAAATAAAGAGGGGGAGCACCAATTTTGAAAGAAACAGTTGTCCTAGTAGGTCAAAAGCATGGTTCTAACTGTTGTGTGCTGAACAACAGGTACATATGTAAAGAATAGGCACTGTGATCTTTATGCCTTCAGAAACTTTGTATTAAAACACATAAAATTCCTGATATTCAGACTTAGGAGTACAATTTAGTATCTTCAAAGATAGAGTGAACGAGGTCAGCTGAGAAGCCCTTTAAGCACATTGCATTTCATTGCTTAATTGTCATTGCCACATTCATTATACAATAGCATAGTGATAAAACTATGTCTAAGGGGCAAAAATTAATGAAATATGATGAAATTTATTGAATTTTAGGTGAACTCTATTCTGTATTCAATTCCTATGAAACAAATCCTAATTGAAGAAAAGCTTTGCTATAAAATACTGTTTGATCGGAAACAGGATGAGGAAAGATGAGCTACAGAGGAAATAATTTAACAAAGGAAAAAATATTCTATTACTGCTCTCACAGTCATAAGAATATTTTACTCAACTGTCTGTAACCCAGAAATTTAGAAGGAGAATGGGTAGAACTGGGTATATTTTAGTTATGTTACCTACACTGCTGAATCTGAATACATAAATAGAGTAGAAGTAGGGTATTTACACTAAGTTTTTAACCCAGCTCTGTTCATAAAGTTGATTCATTGATGTCCCCATAAACAGCAGTACCAGCAAAACTGGAGGGGGCAGCATAAGGGCTGGAATGAGCAAAAGTGACAGCTTAATGAACACTGTACTTTGTGTTTTGCCATTTAAAAATAAATATATGGACACTGTTTTCAGAACCTACCACAAAAGATGTGGGGGGAGTTTTATAGTTTTCACAGGTGTATCAGCTTTCAAGAAGGAGGAAGTGGGCATGATTGCCTTTTTTAAAATGCCTAAAAATATGTCAAAAACAGCTTTTGCAGGGAAATTAGAAAAGGAAAGGAGAATATGGATCAATTTAAAATGCAAGATTAACAACAGAAATCAACAAAGCTGTTAATCCTATGGATGGATCAACTGTCATATAGTAGGGATATTTACAGATCCAGCAATCGGACATAAATGATCTCTGGTCAGTGAAAAAATACTAAGCCATGCTAGGCTGCACATAAGAGGATTTTTATGTCCTCACTTATCTGATGGACATTTCAGAAGAGGTAGGAGTGTGCATGTGTGTTCATGCAAACACGTGCATGCAAGATTGATAGCCTTCTAGGATCTATTCACTTGCACATTCTCCACCTACACACCTCTTTCTTGCTACATTTTAAAAGGAAACTGAGTATTTTGGGGGAAGTGTTGGGATATCTTTAAAGATACAAAATCTCCAGGCCTCAACCTGTCAAAATGTAGTTGCTGTGGAAGTTAATTATGCTCCATAAATAATGAGCTAGTTTCCAGAGGGAACAAAAAAAGATAAAGAAAACACACTAACATACACAATGACAACCAAATATAAAATACGCATTTTGTTATAATTATTCTATTGCTGTGTGTACAGGTGTGGCATAGATAGATTAGTAAACTTACTCTTCCACAACAGTTACACATTGAAACGCATGTAAAATCTGAATAAGGAAGACAGTACTGCAGTAGATATGCAATAGCTATGGTAATATGTATGCATTTTGTCTGGAGGCAGCAACAGAAGTCTGTTCAGCTATTAGAGCTCCAAAGGTATAACCAGCACACTCAGAAAATATTTACACTGCCTTTTAAAAATAAACCCCAAATTACACATACGTAATCTGAGAGGAGCTACTGAGGGACAGAGCGACTGTTGGGTAAATTTCCTCCTGTTACTTCTTGTACAGTAGTATAGGTCATACTGATGATGACTCAATCGGGACTGTTTTGTTCATATTTTAAGGAAATTAAATGCACATTACATGCATGGAAACACAGTATTATTCTTTATGAGCCCCGAGTGAATCCAATGGGCCTGTAAAAACTGAAGCTGAAAACCTAGACCATATTATAGAATAGAAAAGGCAACAGGAGAAACAAATAGTAAAACATACCAAACTGCATGCCCCAGTCACCAAGGTAATTTATTCTTACTACTTCATGTCCAAGTGCAACCTTCAGATTTGCTATAAAATTCCCTGATAAGGAAACAAAATTGGTATAACTATACAGTTGTAGCTAGTCTCTCACTACAACAAAACAGTTTTATGTTTTTGTATGATCTGTATTCAGAATGAAGAAGAAACGCAGTCAGATGAACTAACCCACAGAATCTGCTAAAATACTTCACAACTAAAAGCAACAGTACTGTGAGCAGGAACAGAAAGGCTGTGCATTTGAAAGGTGCCATACGGCATCTCTTACACAGTAGTGATAAAAGCACACACATGTATGTGTATGCCCATACTGCAAATATATGAACTTGAAAAACTTCTTGTATTCTTACAAATATGTGGCAGTACACATAATTCCCGTCATAGTCAGGCAACCTCATACCAGGAGGTTAAGTAAGTACTCAACATTCACAAACTGCTGTTAACTGTGACGTTAAAGAACATCAAGTCCTGAACATCTCTATACTGCTGCAGCAGTACTGAGCTCTGCCACTTAACACAGCGTGTCTGATATGCTCCAAACTTACCGTATCACATAAGCACATCTTGGTTCTAACTGTCATTACAACAAAAACCCTTAATCTTTCTCCTAAGCTTAGCTACAACTGTAGAATTACAAAGAAGAAATACCTGCATCACTTCCTCTATTTTCCTCTCCTTCAAGGGCACCTTTTAATTACAATACTGATGTAAAAGAATGCAGAAAGCTTTCTCTTCTTCTGTTATTATAACACCATATTATAGCTTGCAATTATTTTCAAGACCTTTCACTGTCGTCAATTCATTCTCTTACTATTGGACAAACATTGATCACAGAACTATTTTTCAAACTGTTTTTTTTTTTTTTTTATATAGCAAAGGGTCCAGAAGTGGAATATAAAGAGCCCAAAATATGTAATTTCACTCAACTGTCAGCCCATGAAGAGGCAGAATTATTAACTTTATATAATTAATTATTATACATGCTACATTAAATATAATTAAAAACTAATACATTATTAGCTGCACAGATGCTGTAGGATCTTCTGCTAATAACCTACTAGTTTTTATTGTTAGAGAGTGGAAGGAGGGAGAAATAATGTTTTCCATATGTCCATAAAAGTACTGCATAATAAACTTACTAATTATTCCATTACAAATTACAGCAACTGTGTTAGTAATACTGGCATAAGGTAATTAACTTATAAAAGCAAGCTTTTTGCAAGACAGCCACCAAGACATAACTATCTGACTGCTGTGCAGTCCAGTGCAAATTGGAAATTTAAAATTCAAAGGACTCTCATTACACCTCAATGAAAACTGCCCTGGGTGTCTTTGTAGAACAATTTTAAACTACTTCATTTAATGTTCACAGTCATAAAACTATATTATGTGTGACTTAATAAATCTGCCAGCAACACACCATGCTCTTTTCTTCACTGCGTAATTAGCAAAAGGTTTTTAATTAGCAAGTGGAGCCTGACAGGGCCATTCCACTATAAGAGTGAAAGGTTAGCAGCATTACACTGTCAAGTGAAACCAGGAAGACAAAGAAGCCCTTTTAGGAGTCAGTTAAATGTGTACTTACCTACTATTGTGGAACGCAAATGTCCTATGTGAAACTTTTTGGCAACATTAGGGGAGCTGTAACAAATTTTCACAAATAATGTTTGGTCAATGTACAAGACTGCCAGATCACTAAGTCAAAAGAATTCAACTCATGTATATAGCAGAACTGAAACAAAACCAGCGTTTTCAATTTTCCCTAAAAATTCCCTGATAGCTTCTGTTCTAGACAGGAAATTTTCCTATCCAACCAGCTTTTCCTCTAGTATCACTTAACAGCCAGTGTTACAGGGAAAAAGAAACTACAAACAACTTCACAACAAAGAACCTCCCCCAAACTCAACTACACCAGTGACAGAGGGCTTGCACTACCTTATCACAAAATCACAGAATGGTTTGAGTTGAAAACGATCTTAAGGATCATTTAGTTCCAATCCCCCTGCCATGAGCAGGGCCCCCTTCCCCCAGCCCAGGTTGCTCCCAGCCCCGTCCAACCTGGCCTCGAACCCTTCAAGGGAGGGGGCAGCCACAGCTTCTCCAGGTAACCTATTTCAGTGTCTCATCACCCCCACAGTAAATAATTTCTTCCTTATATCTGATCTAAGTCTACCCTCTTTCAGTTTAAAACCATTACCCCTCATCCTATCACCACCCTCCCTGATCAAGAGTCCCTCCCCATCTTCCCTGTAGCCCCCTTTAAGCACTGGCAGGCCGCTATCAGGTCTCCCTGGAGCCTTCTCTTCTCCAGGCTGAACCACCCCAACTCTCTCAGCCCGGCCTCACAGGGGAGGGGCTCCTGCCCCCTGATCATCTTGGCGGCCTCCTCTAGACCCGTTCAAGTAGATCTGTGTCCTTCTTATGTCAGCACATGCAGTGTGGGGTCTCACAAGAGCATAGTAGAGGCAGGGAGAATCACCTCTACCTGCTGACCACGCTTCTCTTGATGTGGCCCAGGATATCTTCTCACTTTTTACATGTTTTGGACATATGGATCATTCTCCTCGTAAATTTATTAGAGATAAATCTGGTACCAGGACAGGGGACCTTGCGTATAAGAATCGGTAACTAAAATCACATCATCTTCTACCAACAATGTCCTGCCCCCCCCAAAAAGCCCTATACCCACAGTAGTTTATCCCTGATAATAAAATTCAGCTATGAAAATTCACCCTACAGATTAAAGCCAAGTGGTTATTTTCTGTGACTACAGAAGCCTGCAGAGGGAGTATAAGTGAACAAAGGTATTTATACATAAAGAGATCTGAGTCAGCCACTTTTCATTCCTTAAGCAGGTAACCATAAACACAATTGCACTGGGAAGAAATTTTGAGGCCAGCAATGCCTGGCTGCTTTAGCAAGTCAGGGAGGAAGGTATTAAGGTGAAAGAAATAATGAGTTAGTGGCTGAAAGTTCAGATTATGTTTCTTGATAACAAAATAAAAAAAGCCTACTTAAAAATTGAATACTATTATGCATTAAATTAGAATATCCTTAGTGGACTCTTTAAATGCCAAAAATATATTATTGGAAAAAGCCTCAATTCCTTAAATAAAACTTACATTCTACTTGGCAAATATATGGCAGTATCCAATACAGCTGAATATAATACCATAAATATGGTTTAACTTCACAGGCATCATACATTACACCAATGAGTATCAACCACCAAAATATCAATCAGCAGACAAGGCAATTTTCTCAAAGGACTCATCACATGTGCTCACCTGAACTCAATCACTGCCTTTTGTTTGGGTACTGTAGAGAAAAGTTCACTTTTTACTCCATACTCTGAGCCATCCTTCAACACCTGCTGTAACACCGTCTAAACCACAAAGAGCATTAAAAAAAAATAAAAAAAAAAAGGACATACGTTTCAACAACAGAAAGCATGATCAGGAAAACTGTTTACCAATAACAGAGGAGACTGATCCCACAGCCTTTACTCACATTAGCAATTAGATGGCTGGTCTGCAAGCAAACAAGATCTCATATGAAGATGAAAATGTCATTAACTTTTGAAAGCTGTATCTCATCAGTTAGAAAAGTTGGAGAAATTATAGGCAGAGTTTTGGTGAAAACCAAGGCTGAATTTGGTGAAAACTTAAAAGGAAGTGGAAAACCTAGTTTTCACTAAAATCAGTGTTTAGTTACATAAAACGAAAAGGTGAGAGTGTAACCTGGGAATAACTGCTGGACAGGAAAGGAAACTCAGTCTAAGCATGTGGGTAGAACAGTGTCCTCATGTAAAATGAGGGAGCTTTTATGTAAATCGAAGTGTTACCTTATGCTAACCAGGACCCTCATCTATCCTAATTCAGCTAACACATTTCAAAATAAGGAGTACCTTGTACAACTAGACCATAGATTTAGATGAAAAAGTAGGAGAGATTATGAGCAGCAGACTTCACTAGAGAATTTATCTTATTTACCTTATTGTGCAGCCAAATGTTCTCAGCATTTTATTTTTAATTAATAAAAAAAAAAAGCTACACAGCATACCTCTGAGCTTCCTCAAAAGTGTCCTCTTCCCATGAATACATCTTATCTAGGCACACTTTGACGTGTTTGGCAATTTCTCTGAAATTCCTAGGAATATCCAAGGGTTTTGTCAAGGTGTAATATACAGGGGACACGTGCTGTGCACAGCACAGACACATTCTGTAGGTCCAACCCTTTGGGACACATCAGATCTCCCACGCACTCCTTGTGACTGGGGGCCTACAAGAAATCCAATGAGCTCTGACTGCATGAGCATATACAGATCACTCGAATAGCACATGAACACATTTCTTTCACTTCAGGAACTCTCACACAGAAGTATGGGTGTTCTAGTCTTCATGATTATCACCAAAGCCAATTTAAGAGACAAAACAACTACTACAGAATCCTCTCCATCAGTTCACTGCAGGTAGACTGCAACAACAGCTCATGGAAGGTTTGGTCATTCATAACTCTAACAGCATATTTAAACATGAACCAATGCTTTAAGTGACAGAGGCAAAAGAGGTTTAGCTGTTTCTAATTTCAGCTGTATACATTTAAACTGCTTCCATTGTTAATCCTAGAACATGAGGCAGATTAATGTTTCTAACTTTTTGGTTACTTCACATCACTGTTCACTGCATTTCTTCATTAATCCTTTTTAGCCGTAGTATCTGCCTAATGTTCTTTTCCTTCCCTGCTGGAAGGGAGCATGTATGTACAACAGGGAAGCAGAAAAACACGAGAAGTTTGCAAGAATTTAGGCCTCCTCAGAAATACCGAGTCACTTAAGTCTGTAACAGGAAGAGGAAAAACGAACACATTCACATTCTGCTAAAATTGCTATGTTTTTCTGGGCACCAAAAGTCAGCCTGCTTTCTCCTCCTTTAGTGCCAAAGAAAGCCAACTATTCAGTCCTCACATGTCCATTTCTTTCCCTTTCCCACACCTGCAAGTCTGCAAGGCCACTATGAATGGTCTGTACAAAACTGTGTCTACTTTAAAAGTATGGGGACCATGTAAAATACCTCAAAATACTTCCTCAGCAGCTTGAACACAGTCTGTGGGAAGAGGAATCTCATGCTGACTGTATTATCAGTAATGCATCATACAGCAAAGGAAGTCCCTGTACATACCCTACATACTTCAGTTTGTCACACAGATGCCAATACACTACAAAACCTAATATATCAAGCTGTATGTATTCAAAAAACTTCCCGGAGATAATAGAGGGCTTTAACAATGTGAACAAAAGTGAAAATCTCACTTCAGTGGAAATTTTTCTTTTTTTTCCCCTCTAAAAATCACTTTAAAATTCTTCTGCAATAGATATTGAATCAACTTTAAAAAAAAAAAAAAAAAAGGAATGACACCTGTAGAAAAAAATTCAATTCTGTTCTTATTATGGCACCTAAGAAGGTAAGCTAGACAGACACACACACAAATCGTCACATTTACCCATAGATCTATTCTAGTTATCAGTGAAAGTTACAGCTAGGTTTTATCTCCTCCTCTCTCCTCAGTGACATAATGCAAAATTACATGTCTTAATTCCATATTTTTTTCCAGGAAAACTCTACTACGCCAGACACATAGTCTTGCTTGAATCATTAAACTGACTAGAATCCCTACAGATAAAGCATCTTGTGAAATCCTGTCCATGAATAAAATTTATCACTGAAACTACTCTTTCAGTGAAGTCAGCTGCTATGTTCTTACCAAGATGGATTGATTATAAATAGCTAATGAAAAATTCAAAGGATAAAACAACAAGATTGATAGGCATGTCTAAGCATTAACAATTCACAAGAAGAAAGGGTCTTGCCATTCAGGAAAAGAGGACTACAAGCCTAAGTGATAAGTTGTTTCCTCATAAGGAAACTTTTATGAGCTTCATTTCAAATTCTAGGCCTACATAACAAATCAGCAACAGGGATCCTCAAGAACTCAGAAAAGACAGTTTTACATAAAAAATACCTTCCTAAGATAACAGTAAGTATTCTATAGTTTTATACTGAGGAATTTATTTTTGCCTTAATGCATGTGAAATATAGTACTCACCTTTGCTAATAATTCCCTGTTTATCGTAAAGTTCACTGTTCCTGGACCAGCACTGATTTCACTCACTACAGCATCACATTTTAGCTAAAAGAACAAAACAAAACAGAAATTCCACATGAAAACAGCTAGATTGGAAAACTGTTATTAAATCCATTATAAATATTAATTTAATCCACTGTAAACAATAAAATGTTATTTATTGGTTTGAAGCAATCACAAATGGATCATTTAATCAATCCTGTTGGAAAAGGAATGATTTTATTATTTCCAATCCATGGTTAATAGCTCTGAATGTAACTCAGCCTGAAATGTCACAAAATGTTTTACTTCAGTCCCTGCATGCCTACAGTCTGTGTTTTATTTTGACTGGGAGCAGCAGTTGATCTCTGTACACACAAAAGCTGAGATACATTTGACAACTCACACAGTACCTGACAGCACTTTAAATAAATAAAAATCAAGATCAATGTCTTAAAGAAAACCTGAGACAGAAGTTTTAGACTGCTATTTCTTGAAGTTTCTGATCAATCCCTAATGTCAGCTTCCTCTTTACACAAATTTTGTTCTCATCACAGCCTGAGAGCTTTGGATCTCAACCTGTCAGGTTTGAGATTTTCTTATTAAACTAGCTGTCTTTCATAGCTAAGAAATTGTCTAAAAAATAAAATTAAAAAAGGGATAGAGAGCATATAAAAGATGACACAATCACTTTATCACTTGGTTAATATCTTTGAAAAAGGCAAACTACACATCCTTACTGAAGATCACCAGCATGGAAAATAAATTCTACCCACATGCTAGTTCTCCAGCTTAGACAGTAACATAACCAGGAGGTGAAGTCATGGTTAGACTTGAAGTTCTTTAAACTTTACAAGCTTCAGTAACATCATATTCCAATATTTATTCACAAGTTACATGAAAAAATATGTCTTTTATTGAATTTGAATTTCCCACCTTATCATTTTAAGAAAGGCTCTTTTTACTTACGAGGCAGAGAGAAAACAGGAATTCCCACTGGACTTTTTCCATACTGTTTGTTCTGCTAAACGTTTTCTACGTAATCTGTCATTTGTCAGCTCAGTGTTTTTTATCTCTGTTGTGGTTTGAATCCGGCCAGCAGCCAAACACCACTCAGCCACTCACCCACCCGCCCCTGCCTGGCAACAGGAGAGGGAATTGGAGGGGTAAAGGGAGACTCATAGGTTTAGATAAAAACAGTTTAATAATGATAATAAAATAAAACAATAACAATAATAGAAAGTATAAATGGGCAATGCACAATGTGATTGCTCACCACCCGCTGACAGATACCCAGCCCATTCCTGGCTAGCGATCCCAAAATACCAAGATCCCGCAATCGCAATCCCAGAGGTGAGAGAGAAAGAGAGAAAGAGAAAAAGAGAGAAAGAGAGAAAGAGAGAAAGAGAGAAAGAGAGAAAGAGAGAAAGAGAGAAAGAGAGAAAGAGAGAAAGAGAGAAAGAGAGAAAGAGAGAAAGAGAGAAAGAGAGAAAGAGAGAAAGAGAGAAAGAGAGAAAGAGAGAAAGAGAGAAAGAGAGAAAGAGAGAAAGAGAGAAAGAGAGAAAGAGAGAAAGAGAGAAAGAGAGAAAGAGAGAAAGAGAGAAAGAGAGAAAGAGAGAAAGAGAGAGAGAGAGAGAGAGAGAGAGAGAGAGAGAGAGAGAGAGAGAGAGACCCTTCCCGACCACCCCTCCTCTATATAGTGAGCGTGACCTTCCATGATATGGAATATTTCATTGGCCAATTTGGGTCCGGTGCTCTGGCCGTGCTCCCTCCCTGCTTTTTGTACACCTGCACATGAGCAGGACATGGGGAGTTGGAGAGTCCTTGAAATCGCAGCAACAACTGAAAACATTGGTGTCTTGTCAGAATCCTTCTCATACCAAACCCCATACTGATTCCAAAACACAGCACTGTTCTAGCTACTGAGAAGAAACATTAATTCTATTCCAGCCCAAACCAGGACAATCTCTCTTTAATATGAGTGCTCATCTGGCCTCTCCATGGCTTTAATAACCTCTCCTTCAAGTGCCCTGTGGCTTTTTAGTAATCAAATCTCCCTGTGCCTGCACCTTGGACCAGAATGCCATTGTGCTGCACAGAGGCATAAAAACCCCACAATGCAACGTCCCCTCCACAAAGACCTAATAGTCCAAAGATCAAACAAGAACTGACCAGCCAGATGATGGTCTACTCTTCTTTACTGTTACAACTGCTCTTCCATGTAAAGACATAGGGCTAAGTGTCCCAGGTTTATTTAATGAGCCATTAACAATAAAGGAGAGAAACACTTTGCAGCTCCACAATTTCCTAGTTTATACTCACCTGCACTGGCATCAGCAACACATTTTTAGATTGTGAGGGATTTTTTTCAGCTCAAATGATCCCTCAATCTTCAGCATCACCTTTCTGATCCCACTTTTGTTCAACTTTATGCATGCCAACTTCTCAAAATTTTTATTTCCTTTCCTTCCTTCAAGGTTTGGGTCACTTCTGTAGACTCTGTTTTGCATGCCACTTCTTTTTTATGCTGTAGTTAGTCTTAACACCTCAGCTATTTCCCAGACTAACACACCTGAAAAAATTGCTGTTCTAAGAAACCTCAGTTTGAAGTTGTTAGGGGTTTTCAAGTCTGGTCTGCTTGTACCACAGGCTAAGTTCATCCATTCTATCCATTGCCATTCCAGCGCTGGATTTTACAGTCTTTGATTTTCCAAGTCACTGCAAACTCAACTTCTTCCTCAAGCGTTGGACAACAGCACGGACCATGGCATACCCTTTAGATACCCTCCTAACTTCACAATTATTATTTACTCTCAAACTATTTGGAAACAATAATTCCACAAGAACCTTATTAAAACTGTTTCTCCAATTCTTTGTGAAGATTCTGTGTACCATTACAGTAGGTGCAGTCATTAAACTACCCTGACCCAAACAGATGCTTGGAAAAATAATACTATTTACCTTATGATGACTGTTACATCTCTAGTCTGTAAGTTTGTTATTGAATAAATATATGATTAATGCATTAACATACCCTTTCAGCTAGCTTCTGAGCTTGAAGATTAAGATCTTGTGCTAAGCAATCACTAGAACTGTCTTCTGTTACAGAAGCAATGGAAAGCTGGAAATCAGCAACATGCCTAAAAAAAGGAACATATGAAAATCAGGATAGATACCTATTAAAATGATGGGTAGATTTAGCAGATCAAAGCTGACTCTACATACAAGAAGTTTAACTGCCAAGCATAACCCAGTCACAGATACCCGAAAGTTTAGAAAGCTGCACTAGACGGCCAAGTATTACCTTTGTTCTAACACAATCAGAAAGCAGATATGGTGAGAACACCATTTCAGAATAAACAAAAATTATGCTCATGAATGAATGTAATTTACTTGCTAACTTCATTATAACTCTTGAGCAGGACACTGAAAAAAAATCCATGATAACTTCACATTGGTTCTAAGCAGTTTCACATTCAGATCACTGATACCGAAACATTTGCCATTCAAGCACTGCCCATAATTTGTACAACTTTTTACACAATTGTATTTGTTTTGAGCTTGCTCGAAAATACAAACTGAAAATGTAGCAATTTAATTAGATTTAGGTATCTTCTTATAATTGGATTGGTGTATTAGCTTAGGTTTGTTTTTTCCATCTTTCTTTCTCCCCAAAGTTCTGTTAAACTGTTGCAGTAACAAGCACAACAGAAAATAATAAAACATGACATAACATGGTAAGATAGAATGTAAACACTACCGTTTTTTGGAGACAGGAACTGCAGATATAGACTTTATTAAGTTTTCTGGTGGCAGATCCAAAACCTTTGAAAGCTAAATTTGAAATAAAGAACAAAGTGTCTTCAGCAAAAAAAGATCCAGGAAAAATATTGCTCCCTGTTTAAATACTTGCGGGGGATGCATGAGTTATGCCTGAAATCAAATTTCAACCCAGGTATAAAAGCTAATACTTATTAACTTTCATATGCAATACAAAAAACAAACAAACAAACAAACAAACAAACCCTGCAATACAAACTCAAGAATTACTAAAGGCGCCTTAGAAAAAAGCAAGACAAAACACCACGCATAGCTTGGTTGCTGGCGTTTGTTTGGTTTTGCTTCCCCACGAAGGACCCCATCAAAGCCTCGCACGTCTTTAGCGATTTATCCAGTTCTGGCCAAGACGAGGAGTCGTGTGTATTCCCTGCCCCCACTCCGGTTAACCGCTCCCGGGGCTCGGCCCGCGGGGAAGGGGAACCCGCCCGCCCGCGGCGGGGCTGCAGCTGTGAGGGACCGGGGCGGGGCGGGGCAGCCCCGTGGCAACGGGCCGGACCCACTGGAAGACATCCGGAAGGGGGGGGGGAAGTGGTTACACGGTGGTGTTTGGGCGAGGGCACGAAGGGGATCGTGTCGGTTAATGGCGCGCCCCTCCTGCGGGAGGGAGCGGCGTACCTGCGAAGCGATGCTCCTCCGAAAGGAACAGGCCGCCATGGCTCCGCCGCCAGGCGGAAGGTCGCAGCCGGCTCTTCCCTCCCTCCCCCCGCCTCCACCTCTCCTTTCCGCCCGCCCAGGGGCGGGGCGGGGTCGTACCATTCTCAGGACGGGGGTGGGAGGGGGAGGCTCGCCTTTGGCGCAAGAGGCAGAGGGGAAGGGGGGACGAGCGGCGAGGCGAACTGCGTCGGGCCGTTCCACGGGCATAAGCCGGGGGGCCGGGGCAGTGCTCCCGAAGGGCGCGTGCGCCGCGTGTCGGTGCCGGCTTGCACGTCCCTTCCCCTTCCACCCCCTCCCCACCCCCCCCCCCTCCGGCGGCGGCGGCGGCGGCGGCGGCGTGGTGTCCGGTACCGCCGGGGCCTGGGGCGTGAGAGTGGGGCGACATGAGCACGTGCTCCGTCTCCAAGGTGAGGGGAGGGGAGGGTGTGTGTGTGTGGGGGGGGGGTGGGGGGGTGGGTGTGTGTTGGTTTTCGCGCCCGCCCCCCCCGGCGGTGCTCCCCGGCCTCGGCGGGACGGGGGCTTCTCCCGGCCGGGCCCCGTGAGGGGAGGAGCGCGGCTGTGCGGGCGCTGGAGGAGCTGACCCCTAGAATTGCCTTGTCCCTCTCACCATCCGCTGCCGTTTCCCTCGTCCCGTGCGCCCAGGCTCCCAGTTGCCATTCCCCCCAGTCTGTTCTGTCCCTTTGCTTTGTCAAGACTTGGTGACTCTTCCTCTGTGCCCTGACTCCCGTTCCGCCCCACTTTTTTCTTCTCGCAACCGTCAGCTCTCCTGTCTTGCTCCTCCCTCCTGTTAGCACACAAAAAGCGCTCATACTTGAAGTAAACCTCACCTAGAACTGAGCAGTAGCGTTGTGGCTGTAGCTTTCGTCACTTAGAGCTAAAATCTGTTGGCATTACTTGCTTGCTGCCACTTTGAAACGCTCGTTGCATCTTCCCCCGGAAATAATTTAATGGAGAAGTGAAAATAAAAGTTCTGTCACTCATACGTAATGTTATTTATTGCCTTGATATTTCTGAGCTGAAAACTTCTATCTGGCCTGTAGTCAGGGTTGGCAGTAGGGAGAGTGCATTCATAGTGAGACTTAAAATGTTGTATTGAAATGTTTAATTTATTTCCGGCCTTGCTTGATCGTATACTGAATAGTAGCAGTGGTCCACAGCAGGAAGGGATGTGTTTTATCATCAGAAAGCTCCTGTCCCTTCTGTTGTTTTTCACTGAATTGTGATGTACAGCTGGATCCTTTGGTGTGGAGGTCACTGTGCAGGTTATTACTGCTAAAGGGAAGTACTTTCAAACAAAGTTAAAACTTGATCCAAAACAGGTGGATTTCCCTTTCAAAAATGGCTGTTGCCTTTAAGAGTTGGGTAGTGAAACATGTCCCCCCTGCCTTGCCTCCCATGTCCTATATGTAATACTTCCTTGCCGTTTTATATTCTAGTCTCTAATACATTCAGGGGTGTAGGGAAATCCAGTGCTTGTAAAGCACTAAATAGCCTCTAGTAAAAGCATTAAATAGCTGTAAAGCATTAAATAGCATTTTGCTTTTGTTGTTGTTTTGTTTTTAAGTGAAACTGTACTGAGAAAACTCTATTGATGTGTCCCTGGGGAATTGTTTCCTCTTAATTCTAAACCTGTTGGAGGCTATGAGATATTTAAAGAATCTACTGCTGTTTTTAGTTGACAGTTGAATTGAACTTAATGGAAAGATGAAAAAGTTTCTCCCAAATATGCTGTGATACTGCTTCTGCTAGTTGTCCAACTTGAAACAGGAATATAAAGGGACAATATGCAAATTGATATCCTTAAGATGCTGGTAATTCAGTTCAAATTTTTAGTTTAACGAAGCATTGAAATGAAAGGAGAATAAAATGGCCTGGAGGGCCAGTCAGATTGATGCTCATTTTGAAGTTTATGTTTTTTTGCTATTCTCTAGGGCTGCTTTGTTTTTAAACCAGGCCACAAGAAGAGGAGAGTGACTCGGGAAACAGGTTAGTGCATTTTGATATATGTTTCTATGCTTGAAAAGAGTTAACCCTGGAAGGTTCACAACATCTGATTGAGTTCTGTCATAGCTGCATGAGGATCTGTGTTGCTCCTTGATATCAATACTGCTGAAAGATCATGTCTTTGGAGGAACCCCAGCAAATTGTTGGCTAGTGTAAATGGTTTTTTTCATCTCCAGTGATCAAGATTGCATAGCTATCTTTGTCTTTGCACATTTTTTTACAAGAGAACTCATTTCCATGCTACCATAAATTGTTTACTGACTGACAAACTATTTATATGAGGAGTCTGAATGAGCCACTTTTAACCTGTGGGAGTCAGAAACAATATCTCATTCATAAGTCTCATCGTATTCTGGGTAGCTTGTCTAATTTTCTTGAGGAAAATAAGAAAAGCCATTTGTGAAGATCCCATGGCTTTTGTCCACTAGTATTATATATATTTTTTCCAGTCTATATGATGTGTTTACAAGTCTCCTGTCATTTAAGGAAGACTGAACAGGATTGCCTCTTAACTGGAGCTATGAATAATGTTGCTTAAATAGTTGTTGTTTGAAGATTTAGGAAATTTATTGTTCTTATTCCCAGGTTAAACTTCTTTTGTCATCACCAGAGCTGTCAAAAGGTGTGACAATTTGTATAAAAAAAAGTGGAGGGGGAAGTAATAAGGCCAAATTTTTGTGGAAATTGCCTTAGGCTCATGCATTACCCTGTGTTACCATTACTGTAAGACCTGCTTTAAAATTAATCCCAAGTTGTTTTTTTCCATGAGAGTTGGCACATCTGTAGCTCAGGGAATGAGAGGCAGGGAATAGAATCCAGTCTGTCATTCCAAGTCATTGCAAGATAAGTAAATCAACAACCAAGACCTATGCACTTAAACCACACTGAAATTTTAGCCCTTACTATATACTATGTTTTCGTTTTTGCAAGATTAGTAATGCTTGGATAAATCCTGCTGAACATTTTGTTCTAGTTAGCAAATGCTTTGAGACAGAAAAATAAATTTGACTGAACTACCCCTAGAAGAGAGGCAGAGGTAAGCTAGTTTGGCTGCTCACAGCAGTTGGTTGGAATGGTGTTCTAAATAAACAATACTTGATGTGCATCCGTCCCATTTGAAAGCCCAAACCTGTCTAGTGTTTCGGTTGTGAAACTTCACAGCATCAATAGTTGATAATACTGTTGCACACCACGAAAGACCTTCTGTGCAGGTTTGCACCTATAGTTTGAGTTTTGGTAGTATAAAAAGAATATTATGCTTTGGTGTATTACCAATAATGTGGCTGGATTTTCTTTAACTAAAAGCCTGAGATCTGCCTAATCAGAGTTGGTTGCATATTTTAAGTGATTTTTCTTAGGAATACAACTGAGGTGCTATTTTAAGGGGAAATGATGAAAATGGAGGCTGAGGGATGCCTCTTGTTTGTCATGTACAGAGCTTTTGGGTGGTTTTAATACTTTGGGAGATTTAATGGGTTCATCAGATGGTTCTTTTCTGCTGATCAGACCACTGCTGATACTCCATTGAATGTTCACCAAATGGACATTAATGGCTAGCAAATGTAATCTTTTGTATGCATACATTTAGAAACAATCAGTTGTTATCTTTAATGTTGCCTTGTAGCAACAGTTAACAGGATGTTTACTTAAAGTTCAGTCTTTGTCTTCTTCTAGGTGGCTTTAGTGAAGCCTTAAACCTATACCTGGGCTGCTAAATGTATGCTGGGAACAGAAGGATGGTTCCAAGCCTGTGGGGTTTTTTGCCCCCCACCCCCCCCTTTTTTTTTTTCCTAGTGGGAAGTGTAGACTCTGTGAATGTGGGAGGAAGAACAATGGGGAAAAACCCCACTGTTTATACTAGTTTCTATCCAGTCTTCCATTTTACTCCCAGCTCTGTCTTTCCTCCTTAGTTGGAAGCTGGTGGAGAGCTTCTGTACTCACATCTGTGAGGTAGAGCAGCACCTGGGAAGCCAGGTATATTCAGAAAATGTGCCAAGACACTGTTTTACCAAAAAGGATCTGATTTTCTTTTTCATAAAGAGCATGTATAGAAGCAAGAGGCAATTTAGAGGTGAGCCATAAATGTAGGCTTTAAGCACAAACATTAGTTTGTGCTTAAAAGTTTTGCAGGCATAGTTGTGTTGGTCAAATGTATTTCAAAAAAATAAATAAATCTGTATTTCATGTAACCTGACAGTTCTTTCCCAGTATACCTTATTATTTTCAGGAAATTGGTGTTAGCTGCATCTTCCCTGGGGAACAGAAAGGATTTTCATGTATCCATTCTTGCAAGTCTTTATGGTTTATATCTGACAGTATTAGTGAAGGAGGATTGAATATTTAACAGGTGAGAGAGGCCCACAAAACTTTTGGAAGCAAGGGAAAGATTTTTTAAAATTTATTTTTATTTTCATAATAAAGACCGTTTTCTCTGATTTAGTCTATAGCTCGTCTGGGACTTGAGATGGAAGCCAGTTCTTTACCTTTTGCCTGCAGACTTGGGTAGTAGATTCTGCCTGTTCCCTCACTTGTTCTACCAGATACCAGCAGTTAATTAATTGGATAAGAGAAAAGTCATCTCCCTCATATATATGTATATTAAGATGTTCTTGTTTCAGTCAGGTGCTCTTTTTTTTTCTCAACAAAAAAAATGTTTTGTTTTAATAATCTTATTTGTGTTTGCCTTTGCTTTCTGTCTTTCTAGTTGATGTTTTCAAAGAATTAAACAGTTATTCAGAGGATGTTGAATTGCGGTTTGTTACTTGTCAGTCTTTATGGAAACAGATCAAATCGGAAACAGAGGTGAGTTGCACCTCATAGTAAAGCAGTGCTTTGCATTTATAACACCACCGCTTGCTTCTTTGTTTCTGGAGATCTTTTTTGCACACTTAAAAGGGCAATTAGTTAAAGCAATAGAAGGGCCAGAAATATTGACTAAGACTGAAATCCCTGTCCAGAATATAAAATAGTAAAGCCATCAATTACATGTTACTTCTAACCACAGAACTATATGCTTTTGATGCTTCAAGCTGCTGCTTCTAAGCTTCTGTTCTTACTAATTGTCCTTTTTATTAATTCCAGGCATACTGCTGTTTTCTACCTTCAATTCAGTTATGTGCTTGCCAACCCTCTGAGGATTTTAGGCTGCTCCTGACCTCAGTGTTAGAGTTCATTGCAGCCCAGGATTCACAGTGGATTTATGT